TAGTTAAATAGGAACTCTGTAGGACCATGCATTATAGTTTAAGGCATGCCCACATAGAGAAATTTGTTATGTTAGGGGTCGGGGCCAAATGCAATGAATTATTGATAATTTATTGCATTTTCTTTGTGTTTTTTTTATTGGGCGGCGACGTACCCTAGCCCCCGCTGTTTACTCGTACCAAGGGAATACTGCGGGGAGGGTGGACCGAATGGCGCAGAGTGGTCGTAATGATTTTTTTTTTTTGGGGGGGGCAGGGGCTGGATGATGGGTCGCGTACATTATTGGGGCACGCCTTTTTTCTTTATTTGTTCAGAAATGTACGTTTTCAATAAATGTTTTCTACAAATATTCGGGGCCATGTGGCGTCATTCAGGCGCGGATCCAGGATTTCTTAGGGGGGAGGGGGGCCAAATTTGAAATCATGCGAGCCAAATATTGGTACGTAATGGTGACCAGCAGTGATGAACTAGGGGTGGGTACATGGACGGGCGAGCTTCCCCCTCCCTCCTCCACGAAGCGCGGAAGCTTTGACGTTTCAATAAATTATTAGAGAAAGAAGACAATTCGTTGTACCGTTCTCGTCTCTTAATCCTCGTCTAAATTCAGTCCCCCCCCCTCCTGCGCGAAGCGCGGAAGCTTTTACGTTTCATTAAATCATTATAGAAAGAAGACGATTCGTTGTATACCGTTCTCGACTCTTATTTTAATCCTTCAAAAATCTTCTTTGTCTGCACCTTTTTCTTCCTACGTCCTCTTCCTTTTCTCTCCTCTCTCTTATTTTTTTGTTTTTGGGGGCCAGCGTTTAAGGGAGGACCGCCCCCACTGCCCCACCCCGGCCCCGGAAGCTCAGGGGTTTAAGGCAATAAATCACCGTCAGATGAGCATCTAAGGGCCCGCCTTAAACCCCTAGGTGGAATCCAGGGGGCAGAGCCCCCGAAAGCTAGGGGTTTTATAGGCATTAATCACGGTCAGATGAGCATATTTTGATACCTCATTATTTTGTGCCACTGGCAGTTAACCATTCTTTCTTTCTTGCTCTCTTTCTTTCTTTTTCTCTTTAATATACTTTTTTGTTAAGTGTGTGTTGGGGGGGGGGGGAGCTTGAGGCTCCAGATCCCCGCCGTTCCGCTCGCCCTGACATGTAGGCACCTCAAGTAGCATATTTCTTGCCTGGCTGTAAATTTAGGAATTTGTCATTTTCCAACAAACGCATTCAAAAATATAGGTAGTTTACTAAAAAGTGAGGACAAATCTCGGAAAAATTATGTCATTTTAGCATTATTTGTAAACCACCGTTATGGAATTAGAAATAAAACACGTTTTAATTGTATTTCCCCCAAGCCGCCCCGCCCCTATCAGTACACCAGTGCCCCCCCCCCCCCCTCCCCCGTTACACCTTGTTGGCGGGAAAAAAAATCGCAACTGAATTCCCCTACCTTTCTCCTTTCTCTTTTTTTGTCTTTCCCTTTCTCTCCTCTTTACCTTTCCCTTCCCTTCCTTTCCTCTCTTATAGGTTAACCGGGGGGGGGGGGCAAGTGCCTTTCGGCCCCCATCCCGCTCCGCACGCTGTTGAAGGGATTAACAGCAACTGATCTTCCCTTCTTTTCACCCTTTTCTTTTCTTCTTCCTCTTTTTTGTTCCCTTTTAACTCTCCTCTTTCCCTTTTCCTTCCTTCTCTCTCTCTCTCTCTCTCTCTCTCTCTCTCTTTTTGCGGGGGGGGGGGGGGGGCAAGGACAGCTCGGCCCCCTGGATCCGCGCCTGACGTCATTGCCTCGCTATCCTCTTATTGTTTTCTTTCTATTGGTAATATACATTTCTCACTTTCCCCCTGAGAATCTCATCTCCTAACACCAGCATCCAAGTCATATTGATAATAATATGTTTTTGTGTGGATGCACTAATAATCTAATATAGATGTGAATTCTGAAAATGTATTTATATAAAAGTCAATAATTATGAATATACAATATTCTGAAAATAGTTTCATTTCTTCAAAGATTATAAAAGATCTTGTGAAATGTCATGCCCGCAATACGATACAAATCATACAACCTGGGCCAATGCATGGGGAAATCAAGTTTTTTGGGATAAAGAGGAAAATTAATGGGAACAAAATATATAAAGCAATTGACAAATAGTGAGGCAATGGCGTCACAAACTGATAACCAAATTCGCAATTTGTGTAGTGATTTCCATTGTTCCATAGTTTTTCATATCTAAAAAAAAATCATAACTTCCTTATAAGTTATCCGATTTTACCCTTTTTTTTTGCTCTGCTCCTCTTGTTTTTCTGCATCTATTGAAAGCGAAGTATTTTGAAGTGAATTTAGCCTTTAGGTTATACCACATTCAAGCTTTTCGTAAATATACAATATTGCACGATATATTTTCCAAATAAGTAAGGAAGTTAGATTTTCAAGATTTTTAGCTAAATAAGATATGATTTTGTGAACGGAAGGCATATGTGAACGGAGCTTTTATTAGAACTTATGGACCTACCATCTCCAGGCACCCAGAAACTATACAATTTTAGCCAATGAAAATTCAAGATTTTCGTTTGTCCATGACATCGAAATTCTCAAAACCTCAGGATACCAAACGGAGCTAACCGGACTACAAGCCTAGTTACTGCTCTGAGAGGGTGGGGGGGGGGGGGACTTTAGAATTGTGTCTTGTTGGGGGATAGGGGCTTGAACACTCTCGGGCCTTGAAGGTTTTCGCGTCATGTAGCGTACAAAGGGGTAATGCAATCCCAATATGATTTACTGTTTGAGTTCTATAATATTTGAAATAATTGATAGTGTTTATATATTACGTACGCTTAAATATATATTTACATAACTCTACGTTTTTGTTTAACGCTGATTGGAAAACAATAACTGATGATAGGGGGGTGGATGGTAGTATCTTCATTTGTTCATTGTGTATTATTTTTTTCCTTCTTTATACTTCTGTTCTTTGTTTGTTTTTAATATTTGAATGTTTAAGATATGTGTAATAATAATAATAATAATAATAATAATAATAATAATAATAATAATACTGTCTTGTTTACCCAGGGTAGCCTCATCAGTAATAATGCTGTTCTCCCTGAGGTCCCTGCAATCAAATTATAATAATACGATGTTGGTCATAAAGGTGGCCTATTTACCCCAGTTTATGGAATGATTTTGACAATGATTTATTCTTAACAGATCTAGATAATAGTATACATTCTCAGATTAAAACAAAATAATAGTTTGCAAGTGTTTGTTTTACATGACTGCATGACTGCTAAAGTGTGTGCTACCAGGCGTGGGAGGGGCGAGGAAGAAGAAGAAGTGCCCCTGAATGCTTATCTGACCGTTATAAAATGCCTAAAATTCCCTGAGTTTCTGGGGTATCAAAATATGCTCATCTGAACGTAATGAATGCCCCGATAGCCCCTGAGTTTCCTGGGGCTCAGCCCCTGGACCCCACGCCAATTAGTGACCTACCCGTGTCATTAATAAGGTATCAAAATATGCTCATCTGAACGTAATGAATGCCCATTGCCCCTGAGCTTCCGGGGCTCCGCCCCTAGACTCCACACCAATTTATGTTCCGCGAGCCTTGACGTGCATACCTCAAAATAAGCATATTTCTCGCCTGACTGTAACTTTCGGAATTCGTTATTTTCCAACAAACTCATAAACAGTATAATTTATTAAAAAATTATGTCATTTTACAACATTTGTAAATCACTAAAATCGAATTAGTAATGAACCACTTAAGGGGGAGGCTGCCCCCTTCGAATTAGTACGCCAGTGGTGTCTAGAGGCGTATCTGGCGCTTGGTCTCGTTTGGGGAGGCGAGATGAGCGCGAAACCATATTTTTTTTCCCCTTTTCTTTTCCTCTTACTCTTTGTTTTCTTTCCCTTTCTCTCCTCTTTCCCATTCCTTCCCTGCCTTCTTTCTTTCTCTCTCTCTCTCTCTCTCTTTTGCTGAGGGGGGAGGGGGAGACAAGGGCCTTTCGCCCCCGATCCACACCTTGATGGCGGGAAAAATCGCAACTGATCTCCCCTACCTTTCTTCTTCCTCTTTTTTTTTCTTTCCCTTACTTATCTCTTTCCCTTCCCCTTCCCTTCCTTCTCTCGTTTTAAAGTTTGCTGGGGGGAGGCAAAGGCCTTTCACCCCCTACCCGAACCACATGCTGTTGGCTGGATTAATTGCATCTGACCACCCTCCCTTTCTTTTTACCTGTTTTTTTTTTCTTCTTTTCCTTTTTTGTTCCCTTTAGCTCTCCTCTTCCCTTTTCCCTTCCTACTCTCTTTTTTTTTGTCCCCCCCCCCCTGAGGATCAACAAATTGTTGGCGAGAAAATCGTAACTGATATCCTCCTTCATTACTTTTCTTATTCCTTTTCCCCCCTTCCCTTTGACTCCTCTTCTCCTTTTGTTCTTCCCTTTCCTTCCTTCTCTCTTTTTGGGGGGAGGGGGAGGGGGGCAACAGCCTCGTAGGCAAGGCCCTCTGTCGCCCCCCCCCCGCCGATCTCTTTTTTCCCCTCTTTTCTTTCCTCTTTCCCCTTCCCTTATGTTCCTTCTCTCTCTAGCTCTCTTTTTTTGGCGGGGGAGGGGGGGGGGGGGGAGACCCCTTCGGCCCTCCCCCTGGATCCGTGCCTGGCCGTGGGTGTGTCCCCCATCCAATATGTACTGACCTGAGCAGTTTTGTAATAGCGAACAGGCCCCGTACGTACTGATCGAGCTGAGCAGCTTTGTAACAGCGGACTTGATTGGTTGCCTTAAAAATCAATTTACGAGCGTTCTGCGCATCCGTCTGGCAAAGTAATAGGCGTGTGCAATCGCACCTTGCACGCGCCTGCTAAATAACAGGCGGTGATTGGTCAATTTAGCAGACGTGTGCCGCGTTCCATACGTCTGGGGCACGTGAATAAAGTCACCAACGGCTTTCCATAGCCAATGAACTTATCGCGTATATTATATGCACGTACGTACATAGTACGTACGTATGCACTGTAGATTTACTATACGTTCGTACGTAATTCCCGTATCGGCCATCAGCAACTCCGAAATCAATCTTAGGGCTTAGAGGAAACACCGATTTAAATCGCGAATCATCACTACATTTTGGAAAAATAAGGGAGAAAAGCTGATCAAATATTATAAAGTGGAGATTTATCCACATCGTCCTTTAATTTTGTAGTGAATTTGAGTGTCGCAAGTGCCCGTTTTCTGGGCTTAAAAGGAGGAGTGTTTTCTTAATTCTTGCTGTAGGTATACAATGGCTTGTGCGACACTAAAACGGACTCTTGACTTTGATCCTCTTCATAGCCCTGGAACCTCCCCTAAAAGAAGAAGATGTTCACCGATAATAACTCCATCGACACCAACATCTAAAAGTAGTCTTCAACAATCACCATTTTCTCCAGTCACGCCAAGAATATCACCAGGTGAGGTTACCGGATGCTGAACATAATTCGTATCATAACAATGACCGGGCCGGACCGGGCCGGGTCGGGGGCGAGTCAAGAGAAGAACGACAATCGAACGTCATCAACGAATGAATGAATATTGAATACCGGGTCATAGATCTAGTTACTTTTCAAAAAGTGTAGTCTAGGTATAACATTTGTGACTTGATAATAAGTTTACAAGTCTCACTTAACCAAGCTTTTTGAAAGGGGGGGGGGGCGTCTAAACGGGGTCTGACTAGGTAGGCAAGGGTTGCAAACTTTATTGAGCCAGTGCCTGAGGCTGAGGGTAGAGGGGGTGGAGTGACTGAGCAGTGGGCAGTATAGTAGGGGCGCTGGTCCGAGAATGCGGATCTTCCGCTTAAATGATGATATCCTCGTACACGCGGACACAATCACAATGTTTCCTAAAAAATAAGGATCGTCTGCATTTTAGTTTTTTGTAGGGCGCTCTGCGGGCTTCGCGTTCCGATCCGCGCGCTGGCAATGCGAAGAATAAACAAAGTCTGCATTATAAAAAAAAAACAGTTCACCGTCTTCTTTTATGGGTCCGTGTTCCCAAGGATTTATTGCTCACAACGTTAAAGTCTGTACTAAGTCGAGGTCTAGACTCTAGATCTAAATCGCATCAAGAAAATCATCGCGGAATCCGTTTTTCGGATCGGAAATCAGAATCGTAAGCGAAAAATGCGGGCAATCTTTATTTTTGTGGTCACCCCTTTAATAACTTAACATTTCCCATGCAGACAACAAAACACTTGTAAAATGTATCTGTTTTGAAATATCTTTCACAGTTTTCCTGAAAATGTTATTTTGAAGTTGGGGGCCTCAACTATATGGTTCAATTTCTTCAGATTCAGTGGAGCAATGAATTTGAAACTTGGAAATTTGTGGAAAACGCACTGCTAATAGCAAAGTCAAGCATTCAAGAATCTCCGGGCATCTTCTTTGTTCGGAAGATGGTCCCCTGTCATGCTTTTGATCAGAATGCTGTGACGTTAATGAAGTCCTGATTTTAAACGTAAGGCAGATGAAGTAAACACTTATTAATAGAGTTGAAATGGTATGACACTGTCAGGGTGCTACAAGAATTTTTTTCACCACTTGCCCTGTCGGGCAAGTGGGTTTTCAATTTACTTGCCCAAACAATATTTCCACTTGCCCAAAACTTTAAAGCGAAAAAGGACTCGAGGTTAAAGCATTTATTATCTCGTAATGATAAGTTAGTGTTTTAGATAGCAAATTAATGCACATACATGTACAGTGTAACTGTACTGAATAATAACCTAATATGTCAAAGAAAATGGTCAACAAAGGATGGTTGAAGGTTTAAAAAACGCATTTTATTGATTCTCCATAAATAATCAGATTCACATGAATCTCGGCAAGGTAGAATGGTTCAAGCAGGTTTAAGTTTTTAATATTCAGTCATGTAAAAAAGCATAATGACCCTGTTGTAAAAAATATGATACAAACATGTCATTAATGGTAGCCACATGAATAAATATCAAACATTTGACTTTTTGTACTTACTAGAAAATCCCTGTTGTTTATTCCATTCCGATTCGCACGTGTTCATTTCCCTAGAATAATGACGTCATATTTGGCGTGATTCAACCAATCGGCAATCAGAGAATAGCAAAGGCCTGTCGGTGCGGCCTGCAGAGCTAGAGAGAGAGAGCGCGAATAAGCTCGCAGCTGGTACGATCGCGCTAGCTGTCTCTAGCTAGCTCACGGCCGGCCGTGCGTGGAGGCGGAGCGGCATTCATGGCTTGAAGTGTCACTGTTGCATGCGCGCTGAGCTAGCTGAGCTGGCTAGCTGTCTGTGAAGTTTTTTCGAAATCGGAACGATCGCTTTTTTGCTTCTGGATTTTGACGACGGGTAAGAAGTTGACGGGTGAATGGTAGAGTTCTTGGACACTAGGAAATTACTGTAAAAGTATCACTTGCCCGAATCGGGCAAGTGATAATTTGATTTACTTGCCCGACGGCTCAATTTGGTTGCCCCGGGACGTCGGGCAAGCGGGTTTGTCGCGCCCTGACTGTTTTTAATGATATTTACTTCTGTTGTTTATTTACAGGTCAACTGGTAGCTCACATTAGTCATGAATGGCGCAGGATAAGGCGAAGGAAACGACTAGAAGAATCGTACAGCAGTGAGGCGCCTTCATCATCAGAGATGGTTGAACATTCATCTAGGTTTGGTCTTACATCATCGGCGATGGTTGAACAGGCGTCTAGGTTTGGTCTTACATCGGGATGCTTCTCACCACCCCCGTCCACCTCCACCAATCCTATGCCACAGCCCACCATGCCTTCAGGCTCGTCGTTACAACAAACACAAACCAAAGATCAACCTATGTTCACTTTAAAACAGGTAGGGATAGAAGAAATCACTATGAACATGATGGACAAAGAAAGAGGACAAAATATACAGTTCCTCATTCTACCCTCAACAATTGCTGTGGTAGACAAAGGAACATACCTTCAGTGCTATTATGTAAAAATGAATAGAACGGGTGAATATGCATGCGACACCGTGTTCTACACATTTTTACATAGTAGCAGTGAAGGGATGTTCCTTTGACTACCTGAGGAACTGTACATTTTGTCCTCTTTCTTTGTCCGGCATGTTCATAGCGAATACAGTGAAACCTGTCTATAAAGACCACCCAAGGGAGACGAGGAAAGTGGTCTTTATAGACAGGTGGTCTTTGTAGACGGGTGCCTCTATTTCATGTTTCAATGAGAAAACATTTCAAGGGAAACTAAAATACTGTTATGTGATTTGCCGTCAGGCTCGTTACAACAAACACAAACCAAAGATCAGCCTATGTTCACTTTAAAACAGGTAGGGATAGAAGTAATTCAGTGAAACCTGTCTATAGAGACCACCCAAGGGAGACAAGGAAAGTGGTCTTTATAGGCAGGTGGTCTTTGAAGACGGGTGCCTATAGTTCATGTTTCGATAACATTTTTTCAAGGGAAACTAAAATATGTGGTTTGACTGTACCTTCTTATTCATTGTCCCATGGATAGGAATTCAAGTTGGTGCTTACATGTACATGTACCTAATCCTTACATTAATCCATTTGAGTAGAGTCGAGGCTTGCTTAGATATGAAGTGGTAAATTGCGCTGGTAAATGAATGGGAAGTGCGCGTAACAAAGGTCCTACACATATTCACTGAGCTACATATGTTATAAGATACAGAAATGTGAAGCATATGACACTTACCTCGTTATAAAATATTTTTTTACAATTACGGTTTACTGCTACATTTCTGATTGAGGCTTTAAATTGTGGTCGGGCACGCGTATATTACAAGTATCATTGTGTTTTTTTGTTTTTTTTTACTGGGGGAGGGGGGATCTGCTAGTGATGTGATTAAAGCTTATCTGTACTAGTTTATGAGAGGGATTAGACTGCCCTGCAAGGTCACTGGACAGGTGGTTATCTCATCAACTCAGCTCTCAATTAACATAAGAAAAAGAGGATCATGGGGGACCAATGGTCACCGATTAGGCATTGTTTTCTATATAGAGGGAGCAAGTAGCTACAAGTAGGACAGTGTGGCTTTAAATAAACCCTGTTGTTTTCATAAAATTTATATAAGGGGATCGGTTGACAACATGTTATTGGAAAATAGGTTATACATGTACACATGTTTCCATACAATTCCTTACATTTACAATTAGTAACTAGTTGCGATGAAGAATCTTTATGATAATGTTCTTTTACTCAGATAAATGCATGTTTTTACATAATTTGATTGGTTCTACTTCTACAGGTCATCCTAATATGTGAACAAATGTTGAAGGAGCAAGAATCTAGGATACGTGAGGAATATGACAAAGCCCTGTCCTGCAAGTTAGCTGGTAAGTCCCACTCCTTTCTTGTCCAGGGGGGTGTTTCACAAAGATCCCAAGTTGGACTAAACAATTATGGAAAGCCGTTAGCATCTATGAAAATATTTTGTAAAAGTTATTTAAAAGGCATAGAATGTTGATTCAAATCATTCATATTTTCTATTATCATGGGAGATTTCATGTTTCTTGATGTGGAATTTATGAAAAGTCTTAAATTTTGGAGTTTTGCTTTTGAATGTATTTCAGCATTAGGCTACAAATGGCTCTCCATAATATTTAAGTCCATCTTAGAGTTAAGTTCAACTTAAAATCTTTGTGAAACACCCCCCTGGATACTCAATACTCAGACTATTCACAAAACTGTTGGTCATTTGATAATTTGATCAAGGAGAAATTTATCTTGTAAAAAATAACAGTTTAGTATTTAAAATAATATGTTATGACACCTCATGAACTTCTACCCGCTTGAGCTCGACCAAGAGTCTCCGGTCAGAAAGCCCACTTGTCCATCGTTCAAAATTATTTTGGAAATGAAGTCTCTCGATGTGCATGCATAGATAGCATAGACTTTGATGAGGCTAGCTGTACCCTAAGGAGGAGAGGCCGGTTCGCTCAGTTAATATTGAAAGCGTCTGCCTTTTGAACCAAAGATAGTGGGTCCGAATCCGACCCAGGCGGATGGCTGAAGCCTGTGTTGTGTGTTAACGTGCCCTTCCCCTGTGTCATAGACACGGGATAGTTTACAGTGGAGAACACTCCCGTCCCTCAGATAGGATGTTAAAGGCCCCAATTAAAGGTGAGTTCTCCACCTTTGCACATTCAGAACTCACTGCACTATTGGTATTAGAGTAGGTGGAAAGTTCTCAAGCAGTTATAATGGGGGGAAAGACCCGAGGGTCAAAGTGATATAATTCACTTCTCCCCTCCCAGGCTCTGATGACGCCAAATACATAATAATATTAATTCAGTCAAACCCGTCTACAGCGACCGCCCAAGGGAAACACAAAAAGTGGTCTTTGTAGACAGGTTCCTTTAGTACATGTTTCGTTGGAAAAACCATTTAAAGGGAAACAAAACATGTGGTCCTTGATGATCACTAAAGCAGGCTTGACTGTAGTAATAATAATAAAAACAATGATTATTTAGATATGATTAACCAGAAGTTCATTTCTTTGTTCTTTCAGAGCAATATGATGCGTTTGTGAAGTTCAATCAAGATCAGATTCAGCGTCGCTTTACCTCCACCAGCATGAGCTGTAAGTATCATAGTCAAATCATTTTCAGGCCTTTTGAAGGAAACCTCACCTCGAGAAATAACTATACTGAGATTGTATTTGTGCCCATTAATCTACAAGATTACCCACCAAAGTGTATGAGGGAGGTGTTAAGCAAGATATTCTTAGCATAATGTACAGTTTCTCAGCACGGCATGGGCATCGCCAATTTTAAATTTGTATAACTTGACGTACTGTGCAAAGTCGTTTTTCAAGTAAATGTATTCAAATACTTTTCAACATCTGTTTATTAGGTGCAACATAATCCGTTTTACTTTCCTGCGCCCATTTGTACATGTGTCTGAAACATTATTGTTATGAAATATGAAGTGATAAATATTGACAAATTTATCACTACATCACCAATAGACTGTAGTGTTATGAAAACTGTTTGGCAAACGCAAAATTTGATTTCGATTTTCAATCATAAATATCTTGATATTTAAACCGGCGATCGGCTTGTAAAAGTCATGGGTTCCTGACTGACCTAAATGTTTATAATATTCATTACAGCATGAGCTAAATCAAGGATTTTTTTTTAACGATCTAAGACTAAGTTACCCGATCTAGGCTTTTAATGATAATTTATAATCATAGATTTCTCTCATGATGTTGTAAACAAAGTTCTGTTTGTCTAAACAGCATGATGATTTACCAAGTAGTTTTAGCATTTTATTTTTTAAGTATTTGTATGTGACTGAAAGGTTGTATTTATATTGTTCTCTTCCTCTCGTAGATGTCTCATAAACCCACCCAAAGTGCAATGATGAAACAAAGAGATGTCCATACAGCTCTGTCATACCAACCAACCAACCTACCGTACTCCAAGGACTCACAATGCAGACGCTTCAATATCATGGCTTGTTACATGAGATGACTAGTCACTGCAGTGGGCACAGACGATGGCTTACATCATTGTAGCGTCCCCCCCCCCCCCCCCCCATTTAACGTAACTCCTGTATTGGATCACTCTTGATACCTAGATATATATACTTGTATGCATGTTATTCCTGCAAATAGGACTCGATGTAGATGGCCATGATCTACACCCCCCCCCCCCTCCTTCCTCATGAAAGAAGAAGGTAAAAAGAAGAAAATAGTGATGAAAGTGTGATCATATGATTTAAATAAGTAGAAACAAAATGAGAAATCCACAGAGCTATTATTTCTGAAGAGGGTAGAGACTTCAAGCTTTTTCGTAAGCATCTAGTTGAGTTATAATTGAATTCATATGTAAAGGACTCTATCAAAGACTTTAGTTTACCTTATGAATGTTTTAAAATGTTAGCCTATCAAAAGCTTAAAGCGTGCCATTTAGCTTAGGAGAGCTTCACATGAGCTCTTGAAAACTAAAACATGAGCAATAATAATATTAACAACAATAAATAAAAATAACGATGCTAGAAAAATCAAAAGGAGCTCCCATGAACGTAAAAAGATTAGAACATTTAGTTTTACCAACAAAATGGCCAAAGAGTCATGGACTTGCACATGTATACAAAGCTGGTAAATTTTGTTTTGGACTGGTATGCCAACCAAGCATAAGAATTGTGGGGGGGGGGGGGGGGGTGCCAACTAGCCAGCAAATTCCTGTGTAAATGCGTATTTACCCTTATTGCATGCATTTGTGTATATCGAATACTGTTATTCACTTGTATGATTTACACACGTATTACTTGGCAAGGAAACGGTGAAACTCAAGTTTTTTTTCTCTTTCCACAAGTGTGATAGAGGAAGACGGCCATCTTGTCATTACGATGGGATTCATTAACATTGTATCATTCATTGTACACGGTCACAATATATGGCTAATGATGATGCATTACAGTTAATCTTATTTCAGGGTTTGCATTGCGAGTGAGTGTATTGAAACTTAATCTGTTGATACCTTGTATTCTGTAAGAAGAATTCATGGTCTCAACCACAAAATATCTCATGATAATGAGGAACCAGATGACTTACATCGTGTATAATATTGGACGAATCGAATAAATATGTTTACTGCCTTCGTGATGTAGAGTTCTGGGATAAGTATTAAGCTCAGCCAAGATTACATGGTTGAAATCGAAAACATTAGCTATGGAATATTATCTGAACATCATTTGTAGCAGATGACCTGTGTGTGTGTGTGTGTGTGTTGGGGGGGGGGGGGGGGTGAGTTGAGTGAAGTATGCTGTTAACTGTACTGTGGTCTTATACTTGATATACATTTACATGTACAATGCATAGTTTTGAAGGCTGATCTTTCATCCTAAGGTTTGCACAATGAGGGAAAACCCCAGTTCTCTTTTAACAGTCATTTCCATAAAACAACCTCCAAAAATCTTTCTCCATCATTCTATGAGGAGTAGGAGGAAATGAACTTAAAACGCCCTACAACAAAAACTAAAGTTGGTCTTGGGTTCCCTATTCTATACGAGCATGTACGGGTGTGTCAAGTAGTCTACTCAACTGTCACTTTTATGTTAATTGAGAGTTGATCTAAACTTGCAGTATCTGTTTATAGAAAGTAATATTGGACACTCATACTCTGCACACGGAACCCTGAGCATACAGAGCTAATTATTTGTTGGTGATTTGTACACTTCAAAAACTGCAGTCTGGACAACTTAATGGGTTTATGAAATTCACTGTACGTGTCAATGATCACTCTTATAATGAGTGTGTCTGAGTGTAAATCGGAGAGGATCATTGTTTCCCAGAACTCTACTTCACATATGATATTGAGGGGTCAGTGACACAAGGACGTAACTCCATTTTGGCCATTTTGAGAAAAAGTGGCTAATGTGTCACTGAGCACTTGGGCCTTAAGGAGTTAAGTCTATGTTTCACTAGCCATTGACTTCAATGGGGGTGTTGGGTGAAGTCTTTGTGTTTCCTGGAAAGCCCACATTTTTCTGAACATTTTGATATCAAATACTCATTTTGGCAAAAAATGGAGTTCCGTCTTTGTGTCACTGACCCCCTCGATATGTTCCACTTGAAGCGTGAAGTGCGTGAGGCATTATTGTACAGGAAGTAGAAGAAAAAAAACGTGCAGAAGCCTCTCGCTTTTCTTAACCCCTGTGGGATTATTTTTGTTGAACCTTTTTTTTAAATATGATACATTGATAGATATTTTCACACTTTTATATGTGTTTATGTGTTTGAGAATGAGCCTCTTAATAGTGAGGAAAGGAAAGTGTGTTTGTTCTGCATTGTCCAGACTGTCTCTATCATTGTAAATATTGAAGCTCTCTCTCATGATAGATAAGGTAACTATGCTGTTCAGTAAATCCTATTTCCTTGTGTTGTCTGTTTTGGTGCTATTAATTTCTGGCCAACATTCTTCAAAAGTATAATAGAACATTTAAATTTATTCGTGTCATTTTATTGAATTATTCTTATTTATTCTTCATTCTTTTGAGTTAGTTTTTTGCCCTTGTTCCGAGGTTTGTAAGATGAAACAGTAGGTTTTAGTAACTTGTAAATAGTTTTTTTTTTTTTTAAAGATTGATAGAAGATGACAAAACAAAGACATAAAAGTGTGTGCATGCAAGTTTGAAGCCATTAAACCAGTTTTCATGAGAAAGCATCCTTATATAATACATTTCTACTTCTGTTCTGATGGTAAGATTTGTAGATTTGGCCATCAAAAGAGATCTGAATGCCTCTCGTAGATAAATATGAAGTCTGGTACTTCAAAGGGAACAAAAAATTAGCTGTGCAATGAGAGTCACTATCCAAGGAAAAATATGAAGTTCTTTGCCAGATTTTATAACCCATTATTTGAGAACTATTCGGAGTGGCCAATTTCGAAATCAACTGGTATGATTGGTGTTTAATTTTGTGAAAACGGGTCTTAACGTTACTGGCCATATTTATTTGATTTATGTAGAAATTGTAAAGAGTTAGAAGAAACCGGAATCTAAAAATGTTTTCTCTTTCTATTATGTGAAAGGTAAGTTCTCATCCCATAATGAACAAAAATGATATTGGTACAAACAAACATAATCAAATGAATGTATAGAAACCATTTTCATGTGCTCATTCAATAATTTGCATTTTAGATTTGTTTGGAGAATTATTCCTTAAACTCTAAGTATATAATGTTTCTTTAGGTTTTGATGTATTTTTGCTTCTATATCTACTACGGTACTTTACCATGTTAAATGCAGTGTTAACCATTTCCAGACTTTCAGAATGGCAATCTTTTATCGCAAGGTGCAAACTGAGCGAAAATCTGATTTTTGATTGGTTGTTGGCACACATCTCTCATTTTACGAGGTGTAGCTATTTTAAAATCAAAACGAGACAAAAAGAATTGGTTGTTTGTTGAGCTTACTAGACAACTACATGTATTGTACATTGTATATCATACAGAGATGAGGGCATGTGTTACAGGACATGCCTTTATTTTCTCTCCAGTGTCAGATGACAGACATCCCCTTTTCTTATGAACTTTTTAGATTATTTTCCATCAGGAACTATGTGACCATTCAGCAGAGAGAGTCTGGAAATGGTTGACTCTAAAATGCATCTTTAAGTAAGAAATTGTATAACAAAGACCTCATTTATAATTATAATGATATCTCTGTACATGCGTAACTAACCTGTAAATGTTGTCATATACCTATACATGTATATACACAATAATTTGCACCTCTCCCCTCTTTTAATATATTCATTGAAGAAAAAAAAAGGGCATATTAAATACGACATTGACATTGATTGCTGTACATATGATAAGACTTGAAGTATTTACTGGTTTAGATGTTATAGTTAATGTAGCTAATATTGAAGAGTATATGGAGAGGAGATGCAGATGTTGCAGGGATATTGAGTTGTACTTCTTATTGTATCCATTCTTGACCTTTTTTTTTCCTGGTTTATGAGATGTCACATTGAAATTGTTAGTGTAAAAGAATAATAATAATCAGTTTCTGGTATTAAAACATAATTGTGTGGTTTGTGTTTTTTTCTGTGTGCTTTCTTCTTTTACTCCTCAATTTATATGTAGAGTGATGAAAAAACATGTCTGTCTGATCATATATTTTGATATGATATCTACTACAGGCTGATATGAATGTTGAACTGGGCCCATTTTCAAGCCCCTCTAAACTTCTAAAGTGTTGGGAGCCTAACAAAATTTGATGGCTAAATTTCACCCTAAATTGGTTCATAATATGAAAGGATGTGTAGACACATTTCTGCAAGGAATTTCAAAACAAATTTGTTTGAAGTCAAATATTGATGAAAGAATACAAAATTTAGGTTTTCTGCATATAACAGAAAATCCAGATTATTTGTTTTCGACACATTATTTGGGAGAAATCTTTGCAGAAGTGTCATCCTCTTTCACATTATGATACAATTTTAGTGAAATTTTGCCATCATATTTTTGGTGAATTTGGGGCTCCAAACACTTTAGAGGGGCTTTATTTTCAGACAGTTCCAAGTGGAGAGGGGAATGTTCTCCATTGGATCCAACTCTAGCCACTGCACATCTGTCAAGGTTTTCAATTCAATCCAAAGAATGTTTTATTAAAAATGTATTTGGAAGTACACAGACTGAATTATACATGTTTCACAGATACAAATGTATCAAGTACAATATTGATATGAATCGCACAAAATTATTAACCATATCACATTCGCACTATTTCACTTGAAGCCAATCCTTTCGGGAAATATAATTGCATTATATGGGAAACTTAGTAAAAGGTAAAGACCAGTTTTGGAAACGCCCCCCTCTCAAACAATGAAACGGAAGCTCTTATTACCAATCATGTGAAAGATGTTTTGACTAATACGTGACGATACAAATTTTGCTGAGAAACCGCCTACTAATTGATATATTTGGTAAATTATTACATCTTTTTGGACCGGATAGATATCGCACACGTGTTGCATAGTCCCATAATATATACATCTTTACTAAGACTGGTCCAAATTTATTATCATTTTGATGATTCCAGAACCTTGCAGTACACACCAATACTTATACTGTATGCTAGATGATCAACCTTTTCTGATCGATTCCACAACATTGCTTTCACAAGGCAATCGCATGAACATAACTGGTCTTTATCTTTAATAATTTATTTTCTTTTTATTGTGTACCGATAATGGAATGGAGGTTGTGAACTACATGTACATGTATGAATACATAAAACACAAATATGGAAATCACATATTAACACAAGTGTCTGTGTTTAATTTATACATGTAGACGGTCAAGTCTACTGATTTAATACCAGTATACAGTACGTTTCTTTTATTTTTTTCTCTCAACTATTCATGTATTTTCTCACAATATTATTTTGCACCTCCACAATGTCTCCTTTATTCATAATCTTGAGTCATTGCAACTTCACATAGAGCTTTTAACAAAGAATCCTTCCCCCTCATTTAATTTATGATCTACATTTAGTTTAATATGGCTTGACATTGTACAGATTTTAAAAGAGATTAAAGGAGAGGTGTCGTGGTTGAGTGGATATGTCACCGGACTGTCAATCACAAGGTCTGCAGTTCGAGTCCCGCCAAGCCACTAATGTCCTCAGGCAAGATATTGATCTACATTAGCCACAATCAACCCAGGTGATGTAAATGGGTACCTGGCAGTAATTAATTCCTTGAAATGCTAGAGCGCTGTAATGGCAGCCCCCGGCCCCCCCCCCCCCCCCACTCAGTGTTATTTAGGGTACGCATGTGCTTGTTCCCTCTTTTTGAAAGCACCCCCTATCTGAGGACTGCCAACATTTCCGAACCCCCCTTTCGCGGGTTTTTTGAGGGCTTTTCCTGCCTTGGAGACCCCCCTAAATTCGGAAAAATGCTCAATGTACCCCCTAAATTCAGAAAAATGCTCAATTTACCCCCCCTTAATTCAGAATAATTTCTCAGGAGTCCAAAGAGATGAAAGAAAAAAAGAAAAAACACCCCCTTTTTCAAGAAATCTCCGGGTGAAAGTCAAATACACCCCCTTTTCTTACAATTCACGGGCCGGACTTCGTCGCACGAAAAGTACCCCTTTACCGGACATTTTGGTAACACGCATGCGGTCATTCCGACCCCGGAGTGGGGGGCCGGGTGGCAGCCATGCTAGAGCCAGGGTAATAATCGGGAGCGCCAGGAGTGTCAAGTCTGACAGACATGAGCTCTATACAAGAACCCACTATTATTATTATTATTATAAACAGAAGGGAAAGATCATGCTTTCCCAACAGACCAACACTGAAAACAGAAACACAAATTTGCACATATTGGAATACTTATTAAAACATGATATTTAATGGTATAATAGTACATATTTGTATATTGAAGAGAAGTAATCATCTTGTATGATTGTAGTTGCTGTATCCTGAAAAGGATATGTTCTACTATCTAAAAACATTGTTCAAACTTGTAATTTTTCCCTTCCAACAAAATATTGAAAAGTTAGCAAGTGCTACATGTAGTTTGGATCTAGATAATGATAATATGAATTACAACATTGATGATAGTTACATCTGCATTGTAACTAATGATGGTTTTAAAGGGCTTTACATACTGCTACTTAGAAATACCTTAATGAGAAAACATAGCAAGTGCTCAGGGTTTCAAGTGGTTTATACATCCTGAAGATGCATTATGAAAACTAATATACGTTCTTCATTTTTATGAGAAATAGTTCAGTTGCTATAATAAATGAAACTTAAACATTGTTGGTACATAATTAGTACATGGATAGTTCAATAAGACAGCATCAATTAGGTTTTTTTTCCATTTATGACAATTAAAATTTATTAAAGCAAAAGATAAAATAATTTTCAGAAACCAGGCATCCAAATAAAATATTACTACTATGAATAGATTCTTATACATGTATTTCCTTTTCAGTTTGGGAATAGTTTTTTTTTTCTCAAATTATGGCAGAGATTTCTCATGATTACATTTAGAAACTTAAATCACAAAACAGTTTTCACTCCATTTCAGAGTTCTGATTCAAGGCATTTTCTGATTTCACAAAATGTATGAGGAACATTTCTACTTGGCATCTATAAAAACACATACTGATGACTTCTTGTGCATATCCTTTAGTTACCGTCATGATGTGAGCCCCCTAACATTACTTGTGCTCTAGATACATAGGTGCACATACAACTGGCAGGGAGGGGGAGGGAGTTTGGTAAAGAAACCAAAGTGGTACTTAGAGGAATTCCACCAATACATAGCTTTTCCCGGATTTTATGAATAGAGCATCTTGAAGAAAACTCAATTTAGATTCACGGCCAAAAACAATCCTGCACTGCTGTAGTACATGTAGTTTCATTACTTTGATTTGGAAAATTGTCACATATTATTCTGAAACTCTTGTGAAATAAGATAATGCCTGCTGATGTAGTCACCCTGAGAATGAGAAGGTTTCCTACTAGAGAGGAAACATTGTATCCTTTTCATTGATCTGGTCTGGTACAGTCAAACCTGGTTTAGCAACCACCTGTCTACAAAGACCACATTTTTTGTTTCCCTTGAAAATGGTTTCTCATTGAAACATGTACTATTTAGGAACCTGTACATATATATATATATATATATAAAGACCACCTGTCTGTAAAGACCATTTTCATCTCTCCCATGGGTGGTCTTTATAGACAGGTTTCACTGTACAATCAAACCTGCTTTAGTGACCACCTGTCTACAAAGACCACATTTGTTGTTTCCGTTGAAAATGGTTTATCTTGAAAATGTTTTCTCATTGAAACATGTACTAAAGGAACCTGCACCTTTGCATAAAGACCATTTTCTTGTCTCCCGTGGGTCGTCTTTATAGACAGATTTCACTGTATCTTCAAAATATTTCCTTGTTAAGATGAGGCATGACTTGACATCCATCTACTAAAGTTCTTGTTTAATGCTAAATATATTACTCATTGCGGACATAGTATCGAAAATCATATCGCTAGTGACATTCGTTTGTCTTGCAATGTATGGTCAACACGGGATCTAAAAGATCACAACAATTTGTGTGCCGCTGCTACACTTCGTCAGGTGATAAAATATATTGTAAGCAAGCGTGTTTTATACTCTACGGGTGGACCGGCAGTCAAATAATTAGGCCTATTGGTCGAACACGGGTGCTCGACCAATCATTTTGATGCCTGCTGCTAAGTTTTTGTTCTTGTTTGTTCTATTTTATTCATAGATCCTCATTCCTTCCTCTTCTTCTTGGCTTGACTCTGTCCATCTTGTGTCTGTCCCTTGCTCCGCAGACTCCTCCTCTTCTTCACACCGCTCTGTCCATCTTCCGTCTTTCCACCTTCTGTCTTTCCATCCTTTGTCTCCTCCTTGGTCTTCTTGAGGGCTTTCACCTTCCTGATCTGTAGCTTCGCCAGGTCTTGTTTCTCCATGTGCACTCTACCATGCATGGTCTTGAACACATCGTGACTTATGTTCTTCTTCTTCTTTGCCTGAAAACGTTCAAAACAAATCAAAAAGAAATGCATGAATAAGTAGATAAATAAAAATAATCATACAATCAAACAAACAAACAATTTTTTTTTCAATAAATGAAGAAAAAAATATACAGAAAGATAAATGGATAAAAAATGATTACCAGTAAGTACATAAATAAATAAATCAACTTAGTACATGACTTACAGATACTATGTCCCTTTTGCAGTCAACATCAAATTCTGTTGAACTTTGCACTTTGCAGGAATTATGAATATGTCACGTATGTCCTGTAAAATGTAAACGTTGGCAGTGTCCTAAATTTAAATTATGCAAGGAAACCTGTTTACTTGCTAGACTTCATCATACACTATTGAGTGACTGACTTACATCATTTTACCTTTGGTAATAACATACATAAAATGAGCTGTAAAGGGTACATGAGCATTTGTCTACATCAATAACCCACTTCTTGTAAGGGCCAAAATTAAAGTGATTGAATCTTTGCGCATCACAAAACATACGGCCATTTACCTTTAGGGCCTTGGGTTTCTTGCTGGCTCTCTTAAATAGATCTTGTGTGGCTAGTCTAGTCCTTCTCACGACCAGGTCTAATGATGGTCCTATCTCAGTCAACTCTACACGTGGTGTTCTACTCCCAGACTTCTTCAATATGACTCTAAAATGATAAAACAGTCCAAAAAAAATATTCATAAAACAGGCTCAAGAACATAGAAAACCTCAATGGTTAAGTGAAAAAAACATATTTGTGCATTATTTTTTCCTCGTCTGCAATTATTTAATATAAAAAAGGGATTTATTCTTGGCTAAAGTGATATCGCAAGGTGAAATGGCATTTACCTTAAATATATATCTACATGTAGCATTTTCAGAGTCATGATGCAGTGAGATGCACATTAGTTGCACATAACAAGGACATTGAATGCACACATGGAACATTACATATTTGGCTCTTCTGCCTTAGCTGTTATCATTCACTTGAAAATCTGAAAATATACCACTACAATTCTTAATTTGTCATTAGACTAAGAGACAGCATCTTGTTTCCTCTCTAATGGCCCGGTCGCACTATAACGTATAGCAGTAACGTATGTCGACGTATGTGAATTTTCACCAACATGCTAGTGCACGTTAAGTTAGGGTAGGTTGGGTATAAGTTGTATACGTTAAAAGCATGCTGGTATAAGCTGACATACGTTATTTAGAAGTAAGTTCTTTCATTCATAATTAATCTTAATTTTCAAATATCAAAACAGGAAATTTACATGTGATCTTCAACAACACGCCGAGCACGCTGCCCATAGTTTTCTCATAAGCTACTCATACATTGGGCATAGGTCGAGAACGCTGCACATGCGCTGGTCATACGCTGTGAAAGGTTACTAAAAGGTTAGACATACGATATGTATACGTTCAATATGTTATGCATACGCCCAAATTATTCATGCTGCAGAATTGTCGATGTTTTGGGGGGCGTATGCCGACGTTTTGACATTATTTCATGATTTTTTTTGATACGCTAGCTATAAGTTTTTCTAAAACATCAGTGTGGCCGGGCCATAAAGGGCGCTATATGAATCCACTTGTTATTTGTTAATATCATCCTCATCATCATCATGATCGTCGTCATCATCATCATCATCATCGTCATCATCATCATCAATCAATACAGCAAATGGCAGCCTCCATGATGGTGCAACCAGGCCTTTAATTTCAATACTTTTAGGGTAAGGCCACTTTTCTGTAGGGCACATTCCTATATTACAGCACAAATAGGAAGAATTGGAAAGGCCACAACAAATCTCCAAGGCCAATGAGAGGGGCATTGAGGCCAATCAAAAGGGCATTCACGGCCATGGCCTTGGATTAATTTAAGCCCTGTGCAACTCTTTACTTTTTGATTAAGTCTGTAGACTATTTCTTGTATTGTAGATCTACTTTATGAGGAATGCTATAGGCCTACACGTATAGTAAATGCATGAATGAATCAACTTACTTGTAACTCCTCATGAGAATCTTTTCATCCACGGCTGTGAAACTGAGCACACATTCCATTCCACCTAATCTTACAGCATCAACCACTGGACCTCTGAAAAAATCTACGACAACGACAACAATCCAGGTCATGAAGAAAAGGAAGAAAAGAGGGAATGGTAACAGTATGGAGCTTCTTTGAAGGTAGCCTTTAAAATCAACATTATTTAACCATTTGAATGTTGATAATTTTCATACAAAATCAGGTATGATTTTTGTCACATGAGAACCCTTATATTATATTTTTCAACATTTTTGCAATGATTCTTCATACAACTCTTCGGGACCTAGCTCTATCAGGAACGTTTTGCACTGCTGGAATTTAAATACCATGCTATTATTTCTTTCAAAATCTAGTCATGGTCATGTCAAAAGTTATGTTGTGGAAATATATTCCTAAAAGATCCGTGTCCTTGAATTAGCGAGAGTAAAGAGATATTACTACATTATTTGTACTAATTACATTATAAAATATTGAACAGAGTACCCCACCCCCCCCCCCCCCCACCCGAGAAAGGTTAGACGCTATGAGGAATAAAAGAAAGAAAATAGATTGGCCTAACTACCTACTGATGTTAAGTCAGTGTTACCTATAAGTAAGTTCTTGAGTTTCTTGTGTATATGATCACTATCAAACAGTTCTCCAGTAAACATCAAACATGGCTTAGTCCCAGAGGTACACTTTGATGTCTGTAATGGTAAAAAACATTGAGAAATGTGTTAAAACTAAAAACAAATGTACATTTAGAGCAAAGTTAAACAATGCTGTATGTAATGATAGAAGCATTATAGAAACATGATTTTTCTCTTTTTTTGGGGGGGGGGGGGGAGGGGTGCATTTGAGCCTTGCCCCCTCTAAAAAAAAGAAAAGATAAAACCCTCTATAACTGCTCCTGTGTAATGCAAGGTTGAGAACCCTGGTGAAAGGTCTTTTGATTATCTTCTAATCAAATAAAGCCTCGGTTGATGATGTCATCAAAAGAAATTAATCTTAAGTTTCATATCTAGAGGATCTCATACAACATTTCTTGATTGTTTATTTGAATTCCTTCATGCTCTCACTAATTTATTTCTCGGATAACTCTACTTTCCTTTACAAGAAACTCGCTATCTAGCTGTAATAGCAAGGAAGCAGCTTATGCAATTTGATATCAAATCTAAGCTAATCTCCTTACCTTAAATGCATGCATAGATTTGAAGTTTTCAACACCCAGTTCTATCATATCCAGTGTATGGTGTTCAAACATGCGACCTGAAAGACAAAAACCAAAACAAACTGAATATCTATCTCATTTGATTCAAAAGCATTGAACAAATTTTGTTAGAAAAACATGAAACTCCTTCTACTGTTGAGTGAAGACTTCACCACAAATAATAAGACTACCGGTAGATATGATACCACCATTAAGTACATTGCCTTTATCTGGACAAAATTTGTTTGTACATCTGTTTTTCTCTTCTCCTGCACCCCTACAATCATATTTATAAGCTCTCTTTTAATCTTAAGAAAGTTTTTTTCCTGCCCCCTTTGATGCACTTCAGTACCAGCACTGGCCCAGTAGCATGAAAACAGATTAAGAAGATTCTGTAATTACTGGTAATGACATTTCATTACCGGTATCAAAAAGTGGCTTGACTGAAAAAGATAAGAACTTATTAGAATATTTCAAAGGTCACAGTTATTTAACTGACAGTTAAATCACAGTTCTCATTCAAACTTGACTTTTTCTACTGAGATAAAACACAGACATGGTTGTAAGATCTGCTTTTGGAGTGAATTAGTTTGGAATATTAAAGACATATTGCAATGTTTTCTCTTGGATTGTGTTGGTTGTGTTTATCAAATATAGTCTTTCCTCGGATAAGTTGCATGTAGGTGACTTACCAAAGACAAGGTTATGAGGTCTTTTCTTGGAGTGAGAACCAAAAGCAAACAGCGACGCATCATTCTTCTGTGACATAAACTCCAAAGATGTCTGGTCTTCAAATGGACGCATGATGTTTTTTCTGTAAGTTATAATCGAGGAGTCTTACATTAAGAACTACATCTAGTACCAGTAACTTTCTGTCTGAGAGTTAATATTGATTAGTTAGCATTTGTTCACATAAAAACATGACGATAATAATAATAATAATATTGGATATTATTAGAGCGCACATATCCACCCGCAAGGTGCTCAAAGGCACTCCAATATTACTCCAGCTACGATTTTGGAATCCAAGGAATTCCGTCCTTCCCACCAAGCACCCATCTAACACCTGGGTGGTAAGTGGCAAATGCAGTACAGGTAGATCAATGTCTTGCCAAAAGATATTATAGTGCTGCAGCGGGACTGGAAGCATGAACCATGTGATCCACATTCCAACGACGTATACACTGGACCACGATATCTCTACATATCTATGTTAAATTGTCTTATTCTTACAAAAATAACAGGATATTAATTTTATCATTGAGTCTTTGGCAACAACCGAAGCATCAGTAAGTAAGAGGACACCATACATACTGTAGAAATGCATAAACCAAGGCAAAAATTGCTTCTCCATGTATAAGACGCACCCCCGACTTTCTTTTTTTTTTTTTGGCGGGTAAAAAGTTGCGTCTTATACACAGAGATTTACAGTACTTTAAAAAAAGAGAGAAGCATGACTTAACTAAGCCAGAAAATTGGTATACTTCTGTAGATGTAATCACATCAACCTCAAGTATTCTGACATAGCAACAGCAATATGACGATTAATCTTACAGCAATAATGTATGTACTCAAATTCTTGGATGTTTTTTCAACAAATAAGTGGTATCAAACTTCTCCATTCAAATGCAATGAGCTTTAATGCATCAACAAAATCTCCAGTAGTCTACGTCTTCTAAAATCATTCAAGAGGATCACTCATTATATCTTAATTGATGAGCAGTCCTATTCATTCTATCCTTTGGGTAGCTTCTCACAAAACCATCATAAGTACAAGTTCACCCACATCCCATTCAAACGTGTGTTAAACTTAATACACGCATTTCAATGGGATGTCATTGGACTTATGATGACGGTTTCGTGAGACTCTGCCCTGGTTACCTCTTCAACATCTGACTGTGTGGTTTCCTGAGCATGTGTAGCTCTGTTAGTAATGCGGTTATCTTCTCGCTAGTATGACCTCCTCGAATCATCAACGATGTCTTTGTGTTTTCAACCAGTTTAGGATCTCTCTTCTCCAGAGCCCTCTTCACTCGCTGATTCTTGGGTTTTCTGTAACGAGAGAGAGAGAGAGAGAGTTAAAAAGAGAAAGAGAGAGAGTTAGAGAGAGAGAGAGTTAGAAAGAGAAAGAGAGAGAGAGAGAGTTAGAGAGAGAGAGAGAAAGAAAGAAAGAAAGAGAGAGAGATAGAGATAAAATAATTCTACTTCGGACCACACATGCCACAATCTTTCTTTAATCCTGGTGCAGACTTCACCGAAGTGCTGCTTGTGTCAGTTGTGTGCATATCTTGTTCATGGATCTGGGCTAACTCGGCTGCACTGCAAAAACAGTCATTTTTTGTCATTTTACCTTAAAGGAGCTACACAAAAAAAAATCACTAACAACTGATAATTAGAACAAATTACATATGGATGGAAAGATTTTCTCTTGAAAAACACGAATAATTTGCTGAGAAATCGTATAGAGTACCGAAGCTGTGACGTCATAAAAATCTATTTTTAGAATTTCTTAATTTTTTCTTCATATTCCGAAAGAACATCAAAAATAATTTCCAAATGTCGAAAACCGATTGAATATGTTAAGTATTGGTTGAGATATGACCATCTGAATAAATATACTCCCCATAGGAACTCAGTGTTATATGCTCTGGTTAGGAGCCAGAGCATACAACACTGAGTTCCCATAGGACATATATTCATTCAGATGGTCATATCTCAACCAATACTTAACATATTCAATTGGTTTTTGACATTTGGAAATTATTTTTGATGTTCTTTCGGAATATGAAGTAAAAATTGAGAAATTCTAAAAAATGGATTTTTGATGACGTCACACTTCACCACTCTATAGATATCATGGAAAGGCGTAAAAATGCCATTTTTCAAGACCCTTCTTAGACCCCCAAGCGCCCCCGAACATAAGCCAAACACACGAGCATAGCGAGCTCTAATTAGTGACGTCACACACTGGACAAACAGCTCAGCGCCGTGTAGCAGTATGCAGCTAGCCAGCCGTGGATCTCAAAACTAGCATTTTTTAAAGTTAATTACTGCGGGCCCCAAACATATTTTGAAGAAAAGAGTTGTTGTATTTGATCAGCAAGGCTCCCCCTTCGCAATGATATGAGTTTTGCATCAATTAAAAACACTTTTGATTCTTTGTGTGGCTACTTAAACCCTAACTCTAACTCTAACCCTTAATTCCAAGTTCAAAAAAAAAAAAAACTGCCCCAATAAAGACCTAAACAATAAGGATCCTCCACGTTTTTGAGGTTTTTTTTCTTTGGCGCTCTGTGGGGGTAGGGTTCACAATCCCCCCGCTGCATGATGAAGTGATTAAGACAAACAGCCTTTTCACACACAGCTAAAATTCATCGTATCTAGAGATGATTAGTATAAACGTGTTTAACTCAACAGTTTTAAACATGTTTATAGAAAATTTTCCCTGTGTGAACATCGTTTATACGATGTTGGGATAGATACGAAGTCGCGATTCATACGCCCCTAAAAGCAGGCTGCAGATACGAAGTTCGTATCTAGAGAGCTTGACATTTTGTGTGTGAACGGTTATTCGTGTTTAAACGTGTTTCAGACGTGTTTAAACTGGATGGAGCATGCGCTTTGATTGATATGACATGACCTTCAATGCGCAATGGCACTACTGCGCATTTTACGAGCAGTAGTTAATCACGAAACGATTAACGATCGCACCGAAATTTCTGTGTGTGAATGATGTTGTATGTACAGGTGATTAGTTTAAAGCCCTTTAAACTAATCATGTTTATAGAATTTTAGCTGTGTGTGAAAAGGCTGTAAGTAAGAAGAAGACAAAACAAGACGGTAAAGAAATTATCAGCGGGACTTGTCATGGCCTTGGAGCCGGGTATTTCTTTCAATCATCTTTGTTTTTAATAAATCGCCAAGACCAAGTCATCAGTGTGTTTTAGTAGGGTGTCTGATCGCGCACTAGGTTTTGTGTGCTAAAACCCTTTCCATAGAAATTGCACACATCCCTATACAGTCTAGATCTATGTGCATTGCAAAATTGGTCAAAGTTTTGAAAAAAACAGTGGTTCCAAACTTCCAATCTTCAAGAAGGGCAAGAAGAATGACCCAGCCAACTACAGACCTGTGAGTCTGACATCCATTATATGCAAGTCTATGGAGAAACTAGTAAGAAAGCATGTCATACATCATTTAGAACAGAACAAGTTAATGTGTGATGAACAACATGGATTTCGGGCTGGAAGATCTTGTTCGACTCAGCTATTAGAAGTTTGCGAGGAGTGGACAGATGTCATTGACCAGGGTAATAATGTAGACTGCGTCTATCTGGATTATCGGAAAGCATTTGACAGCGTGCCACATCAACGGCTCATATGTAAACTTCAGTCTTACGGAATAGAAGGTCCCTTACTTGCCTGGATTAAAGACTACCTCTCAGACAGGACTCAAAAAGTTGCAGTAAATGGGAAAGAGTCGAGATCTATTCCTGTGACAAGCGGTATTCCGCAGGGAAGTGTGCTCGGACCAACATTGTTCAATCATGTCTTCATCAATGACCTGCCATCAACTGTTGACTCCCACATGAAGCTTTTTGCCGATGACACTAAGTTATACAGGACAGTGGACTCTAAAGCTGACTCAGATTTGCTACAGATGGATGTCAACACCGTAACAAACTGGTCCAATGTATGGCAATTGCCCTTTAATGAAAGTAAATGCAAAGTACTTCATTATGGAAGAAAGAACCAAGGTTTTGACTACACAGACTATACTATACAGTTCCATCTGGTAATGAGGAAAGAGATTTGGGAGTGCTGTTTCAACAGAACCTGTCCTTCAAGGCTTCAACACCCATGCAGCAGATGCTGCCAAGAGAGCCAACATTAAGTTAGGAATGATAAGAAGGTCGTTTTCAGCCTTGCAAAAGAACGGGTTCCTTAGTCTCTACAAAACTATTATTCGACCAACACTAGAATACTGCAACTCTGTATGGTGCCCAATACTCAAGAGAGATGAAGACATACTAGAAAAAGTCCAGCAGAGGGCCACCAGACTTCTTCCTGAGCTGAGACAAAAAGCATACCCAGACAGACTTAGAGAACTACAACTTCCTACTTTGGCTTACAGAAGACAAAGAGCAGATCAGATACAGATATTCAAAATCCTGAGAGGCTTTGACAGAGTGAATCCTTCAAAATTCTTCCAACTAGCAACTGGCTCAACAACAAGAGGCCATGATTTCAAGACTGTCAAACAACGTTTCAACACAAGACTTAGGCAGTATAGTTTCTCAATAAGAAGTGTAAATAATTGGAATGCTCTGCCAAAGGAGTAGTCAATTCTACCACCATTAACCAATTCAAGTCATCCCTAGAAAGGTATTGGAGAAACAATCCAATTAAGTTTGAACCATATGTGAGACGGGATGCAGTAGAAAAGAGGGACAAATAAGCCAAGCTTCCAGTCTCTACACCCAAGTATACCAAGTAAGTAAGTAAGTAATAAATTTAGATTCAAACCGTTGACTGTTGTGATCCTAAAGGTGATACTCAAAAATGAGGTGTCATATGAAAGGGCAGATTAATCCTCATATTTCCAAAGGGGTGTCATTTCAGATTTCTAAAAATATCTTGTCAAAACAGCGATTTAAATGTTGTTTCCATGGCAACTCGGGGGATCTATCGTAATGTCTTCACACAGGCGCGCGCCCGCCCGCAACCCACCATCGGTATGCACTTGTATTGTGCAGCGGTTTGCTGTGAAACCTGTGAAAAAGTGTAGATATAGGGTCTACTAGGCCTAATCATCGTTTTTCCGAAAAATACGCCAAAAATAACAAGAAAATTGACACGAAACAGGTAGATCTAATAAACATAACAACTTTTAACTCATGATCTTTATTTGGACATTTAATGAATAATTACTTCATTTTGGGTATGTTTTAGTAGGGCATCTCCACACCGGAGTTACGGGTCCAATTTTGGATAGGTTTCTGAAGCGCCAAATAGACTAGTCTAATCTTTATTTCATGAGACATGAACTGAAGTGAAGCTTGCACTTTCCAGGAAAAAGAAGAAGCTATAAAGTAGCTTGAATGCAAAGGCCGAGGCGATGAATTCACCTCCAGCCTCCATTCCTGAATAAGCCTAGATCTACATGTAACTTACATACATTAATCATTATCAACCACTACTAAAAATATACTAGGTATACTACTAGCGCGAGCGGCTACCGGATCGACGCCGCGCCTGAACTCCCGCGCACGGCTGCTCATGCAGCTCTACCAGCTCCACCGGGCCTTGGCGAATTGGCCAGGCTCGAGCATGAGTGGCCCGATAATCGTCAAATCTGGATTCTAACCAAAAGGTATACTAATTATGATCATAGATATTAATAAAATGATACTTGACAACGTAAGCTAAAGTACTTATTTCTTACACTATTCGCTGCATTTTTCCAGATCGATGTAAACTTCTGAGAATTATTGTTTTTACACGTAAACAAGCACGTGGGAACAGAACATTTACAACATGCGCCTATCTGCAATTAGGCTTTGCTCAAGAAATATGAATATGTTTTGTTTGTGTTGATGGTAAAAATGAGTTACGGAGTCTTTTGATAGAGAAAGCGGTCATTTCAGTTATCTAATTCAAACAAATATGTTTTTATGGTAGCAATGATTATGTGTCTAACTTGATCATTTATCATAAAAATTATGTCAGCTGTAACGTTTAGCTTGACTTTAAAGACTACGCCAATTTTTTTTTGTTTTAATTTTTCTAAAAGTGTCACATGATACATCACTTGATCCAGAAATCTGATCTTGGTTGACTTTTCAAGTCAGACAAGTGCGTGAATGGGAATTAAATTTGTTGAATACCCTGACATGCGTGACTGCATTTCTTGATCAATTACCCTTGAACTTGTGTTTTTGGATTTATGTGGTACCTACAAGAAAAACTAACATTATGCAGCCTTTATTTCTGCCATCATTTGTCACCATCTACACTTCCCTTTTGACGGCCAGCTTGTGCTCCCCTCCTGCCCCCGCAGACCCGGCGGGTAGCGACGAGTGGATGCCGACGAGTACCAGCGGGAATCTACACGCAATTTCTGTTAATAATGATTCTCTACCAGTCAATACTCTAAGCTTAAAATCAAATGGACAAGGTCAAGCAGCTACAGGTTATTCTGATTATTCAAGAACAATAAACAATTCTCTCGTCCAAGAACAGATTTTGCTTGATATTTACGATCAATACAATGATGTTTCATTGCCAGCGGAGAAAGATTTTACAAAATGCCTTCACAGACAGGAATTGTTGAACGATTACAGCAATGCTTCTTCTGCTTTCATCGAGTGTGCAGTTAGAAATGCTAAACCAGTATTGTATTGCGGGCATTGTGTCTTCGAATTTGAGCAATCAAAGAAAGCATGGAATAATATTGAATCTGTAAGTGTTATGTTAAAGGTATTACAAAGTTTTGGTATAGGCCTACCGTATGGGGGTCATGAATTTGGTTCAAATTAACATATTGGAACATTTGGAAGCATATGCGTTCCTACAATATTCATTGATCATTGTTGCGGTTGAAATCGAGTCTAAAATTATGAAATTATAAATAATAAACTCTTTTTGTTGTATAGCTCCCTCTCAAGGTCAAGATTTTAATTTAGCTATGAAACAATGTTTCTTGACTAAAATCGACCGATTCGCTAATCCCGTTTGGAAATTATATATCACAATTACATATTCTGAGATTTTCATGGTCGCAGCTCCCATTGCATGGCCATAGGCGCTATTTTAACTTTATCAAAATTTACTGGGAGCACCGGTAAATTTTTATATTAAATTTTTCTCGAAAACAGAAGTGTTTTAGGGGCTAATTTTTTTAGTGCTTATAAAACATCCACAGGGGCATCCATCAAAATTGTAAAGATTCACTATCCACCCAATTTTCAAAATTTTCCAAAACTTTGTATTACCTTTAAGGGCAGTTCAAAGTCAAACTACTAGTTTAAAGTAAATTGTCTTGTAAGTTGTATGAAAGCAGGCCATTATTTTAAGAAGATGACAATATGGAAATTGAGATAGAAAGTATTTTTTAGAATGGGAATATATATGTATCATTGAATTTTTGTTCAAGCAAGGCAATACCATTATTCTAATAAATTATATTTGAAATTGATTGCAAAATTCTTTAAAACATTGGTAATTTAAAAATTAAAATGAAAAAAAATCATCAAATTTAGCAAACCCATGTAAAAATTGTTTCAAAGCTTTGTTTTGTTATTTATTAACGTGAATATTTGGAGGTTTTATGCTGATTTTAAACTACAATCACTTCTAAAATGTACATCTTTTGACAATTTGAACATTAAATTTGACAAATTTACTCTCAAGTACGATAATGCTATTTTTTGATCAACTGCCTGTGACCATTGGAAAGACAAACGGAAATCTAGAGTAAAACTTATTTTATGAAAGAAAGAGATAATGTTTATAAACATTTATTTTACAGGATGCAGAATGTAAGGAAGACATACTGGTTTCAGATAAACTGCAGATTGTGAGTCAAACGCAAACCTTCCTCGCTCAGCTGTGGCATGATGGGTATTGTCAAAGTAAGAATTATTCACCTGTACAATTGGATCTCACAAAGGTTCACAAGATTTAACCATTTAAATATTTTTTTACTCAATTTAAAAAAAAATCAAATCAAATCAAATCTTGAATTTAATCATTCCATTAATGATATTGTTAAACTATTACACTTATAGTTAGTAATTTTGTTAATATTGCTGAAACATAGACCTTAAATGCGAAGACAAGATATATTTGTTATAGCTATGTGTGGATCATATCCTGACACAGTTTTTTTCTTTTTACTATATAGTTTGCTTTAATATTACAGAGATTGTTGAGTTGCTTGCATTAGATTTGTTATTATTTTCTTCATGCATGTTTCCTATACAGGATCATTTGCAAAATATTGCATAATGATTTCAGCCACACCTACAGAGAGTAATAGGTTACTTATGATTTCAATTTGTTACCGCCACACTTTTAAATATGTTACCCATTCAAACTATTTTTTTGTAATCTACCTTTGATTATATACTTAATTAGTATTTAGGAACTCAACTTCTCCTTTTCTACTTCCCTTTCAAGCCTAATTTGTAATTAATACTTTTTTCGTGTTTCAAAGTAATAATAATATTTACAACAGCCCCAGAAATTTGAAAAAACAGTAGTACAGTTGATATGCCCACATGTACATGACCTTGTATGTATGTACAGCTTTTATTAGGGATATTGGTTTGTTGTGCTATGATTGAATATATTGAAGATAGCTTCACAATTCCATCATAGAAGTTTATTCTGGTCAATGGTTTTATTTTCTACCTACAGAAAAAGATGTGGGGAGGGGAGGGCTACTAATTCCCAACTCTATTTTTATTCTTGTTGATTGCATTTTGCCATTTGTATGCCTCATCTACATCTAGATGGTGATTTTATCCTATATTCTTGCTGATATATATCTTTCTTTTCTTCTTTGTTTTGACCGCACACAGATTGCTATGATGAAAAGCAGAACTTTAATGCAACCAACTCGACTCGTGAATTCAAAGAGAAATACCGGGACACATGGGCCTGCTTTCGGTACAATGGTGGATCCTCGGTAAGTATTGATTCTAATTGTCTAATGAGAACTAGCCATTCTGATGTAAAAGGAATTTGTCTGAACATTGCAAATTGCTTCTTGAACTGTTTATTGTTTAACTATGTACATTGTATACCACGAGCTGTGCACGTACAGAGTTGAACTGATATATTTGATGTGCCATGAGCACCTAGGTGGTGGATCATGCCACTATAAAATATATCATCATCACCACTATCATCATCATTGTCAGCATCATCATACTCATACTCACCAATCATTTTCGTTATCAGCATCATCATCATCACCACCACCACCACCATCATCATCATCATTATCATCATCATCATCATCATCATCACTATCATCATCATCACCACTATCATCATCATCATCATCACCACTATCATCATCATCATCACCACTATCATCATCATCATCACCACTATCATCATCATCATCACCACTATCATCATCACCACTATCATCATCATCATCATCACCACTATCATCATCATCACCACTATCATCATCATCACCATCATCACTATCATCGTCATCATCACCACTATCATCATCATCATCATCATCACCACTATCATCAACATCGTCATCATCACCACTACCATCATCAATATCACCACTATCATCATCACCACCACTATCATCATCATCATCATCACCACTATCATCATCATCATCACCACTATCATCATCATCATCACCACCATCAACATCATCATCATCATCATCATCAACACTATCATCAACATCGTCATCATCACCACTACCATCATCAATATCACCACTATCATCATCACCACTATCATCATCATCATCATCACCACTATCATCATCATCATCACCACTATCATCATCATCATCATCATCACTATCGTCATTATCATCTCCACTATCATCATCATCAACCTCACCATCATCATCATCATCAACACCATCATCATCATCATCATCACCATCAACATCATCATCATCATCATCATCAACACCATCAACATCATCATCATCATCATCATCATCATCACCACTATCATCATCATCATCATCACCACTATCGTCATTATCATCACCACTATCATCATCATCAACCTCACCATCATCATCATCATCAACACCATCATCATCATCATCAACACCATCAACATCATCATCATCATCATCATCAACACCATCAACATCATTATCATCACCATCCTCATCAGCACCATAAACAGGGTTGTTGATTTTTTTTATTTAAATCGGATTTTTATGATTTAAATCAGATTTTTTTGATTTTTTTCCAACGAAAAATAATGGTCACACTTAACAAGTTTTAGACTATATTTAAACTGTTTTACACCAATAATAGTGGTCAAGTAGTCTTTTGAACATGTGTATTGTACTATTTGACACAATAATCCACTTATATACAGGTAATTTTTTTTTTTTTTTTTTTATTTATTTGCATTATAGAGAGGGACATTTTATGGAAGCCCAAGTAATGTTATGTATTATGTATACATTTAAACTCTTGAAATTTTTATATCAGTCTGTACGTTAACATCTAATTTGAATGTAATATTTAACCAGATTTGCAATAGGCACTTCCTGATATGCTTGTAACAAAATACACATTTTATGTTTTCATTACAGTGTAACCTCAGTTCCAAATAAAACTTCAATAAATTTCGTTGCAAGATGCAGGATAAGCACCACTGTCCACCACATCATTGATGTGCTGTTTTTTCAAACTATTACATGAACAAGCAAGCACAGCAGTTGTATTGCTGCATACAGTAACACTTGCCCAGCAACTTTCCCATTTTTAAATTCTTACTTATTAAGTATACATGTGTACTTTGAAATTGTGTAATTGAATGTATGGGTATTGATAAGAAAATACACAAGCATGCAAATATACATGTAATTCTTATCAAATGTACACATATGCCTTCAACTTAAGTAATTGAAAGAATGGGTATTAATAGTAACAAGAAGGAGGTACATACAAGTAGTTCAGCTGTTTTGTAAAAGTATCCAAGTTGTGGACTTTGAGCACCTTTGTAGATTTTATATATTATTTTATTGAAGATTTAACAGTTTGGTGTACATACAGAGAGTTATTTATCATTACTTCGTTAGAAACTTGTTGTTTTCATCAGTTTTGCTTGTTTTACAATTTGAAAATAAAACAGTGGTGTTAAATCAGACTCCATGAGGGTGTATCATTCTTTTAAAGTATCTCTAAAGCATGTGGAACAGAAATGAAAATGATTACATTGAAAGTATCTGTTAAGAAGAAGAGAAAATAGAGAAAACTAATTTTTTTCATAAAAGTTGATTTAAATCAGTGATTTTTTTGAAAAAAATCAAGTGATTTAAATCGCGATTTAAATCATGATTTAAATCGACATGATTTAAATCAAACAACCCTGACCATCACCATCGCAATCACCAATCACCAGACATAGTAGTAGTAGACGTAGTAGAAGTAGATGTAGTAGTATTTTTTTCTTACATACCAGTAGTAGAGAAAGAGATAGTGAAGTGATGAAGGAAGGTTAACCTTCACGATTGTAACCTGTTTATAGGAAGAGGGAGAATCATGGTTAATCATCAAACAATTGTTTTATGAGAATATGTCTTTCACTATTTTGATAATTTATGATCATAGCAACATACATGTACGTGTACATGTATTAGTTATTTTAAGTTACTTTATAAATGCTTGTTATCAGTATTTCTTGAATGATAAATGTTTTATTGTGTAACGATAATACAAATATACAACGAGGCAATTATTCAGATCACATTAGGAAGTATGCATGAATTTACTTGTTATGAATGATCCTGTCCTGATGAAAATTTTGAAAAGTAGTAATATGTATTTAACATAAAATGGTACGTTTCTGTTTTAAGCATAATAACCACAATACATGGTAGGCAATTGCTTCAGAAGAACATGTATTGTGGTATATCAGGGCCATGTAGCATAAAAATTACTGTTGGTAACTTTGCCATCAATATTAAAGGAAACCAAAACCTTCATACTAAATTAGTTTTATTGTAAAGTTTAAGATATTTGAAAAATATCAGTGAAAAATTGAACAAAATCGGGCAAGGAATAAGGAAGTACGAGCTTTTTGAAATGACTAGTCACTAGAGGGCGGTATTCAATTTGATGACATCATCTGTGGACAACTCTCCATGCCTTTTGTACATCAAATTTCATGTTTTTCCTTCTTTCTTGTGATTGAGATAATGTACTCCCCCGAAAGCAAGATATAGAATGCAAAATGATATTCTCCTTCACATGTTATGAAGTCGGATCAAGAACACAAATAAATACGAAGAAAACAAAAAAATTGTGAAAGTTCATGTACAAAAGGCATGGAGAGTTGTTCACAGATGATGTCATCAAATTGAAAACCGCTCTCTAGTGACTAGTCATTTCAAAAAGCTCTTACTTCCTTATTCCTTGCCCAATTTTGTTCAAATTTTCACTGATTTTATTCAAATCTTTTAAACTTTACAATAAAAGTAACTTAGTGTGAAGGTTTTGGTTTCCTTTAACTACCATGGTAACTTCACTCATCAGCTAATCAAATTAAGGTTGCCATGGAAGTTACCATTAATGTCAAAATTACCGTCAATGGTAACTGCATTACAGGGAAATGGAAATGGGGGATTATTTGGCATTTCGGGGGCTAATTTGCCCCGAGTCTCCTTGTATTTTTTCCCCTGATGGTAAGTTTTATGCAACGGAGCCCAGACAAGGTCACATTATACCTTTCAAGATTCAGTTTGATCTACTGAAACAGAATATTATGATATCACTTTACACAGGACAACCCTGTTCCAATCGGCTCCAACCTGACGTTATGTGGTAATTGCAGTGAGGAATATGAGACGCTGAATAATCTCTACAATGGCTTCAGTGACGAACAACTCTGTATGGACATCATAGACTTGGTAAGAGATCAGTTTTAGTCTCCCCCCCCCCCCGCCCTTTTTTGAGTACCACGAGGTGTAATAATTTTCCCTATATTAATTCAACATTTCATGTTGGAATTTAAGAAACCCTTTAAAAAATAAAAAATAAAATTGTGTTTTTAAAAACAAAAGGAACTAAGAGTTGTCTTGAGAGAACATGATGGTCATATGATTGAGATTTAGTTTACTTTAATACATATAGAGTCAAACCTGCTTTAGTGACCACCTGTCTACAAAGACCACCTGTCCACAAGGACCACATTTTTTGTTTTCCTTGAAAATGGTTTCTCATTGAATCATATACATGTACTTAAGGAACCTGTCTATAAAGACCACCTGTCTACAAAGGCCAGTTTTTGTGTTTCCCTTGGGCGGTCGCTATAGACAGGTTTGACTGTATTATCTTCAACTATGTTTTCTTTTCTTGTAGATGAACCGGACACGGGTCCTATGGAAAGACTACCACTGCCGGAAGACCAAGAAAGAGTATTTAGCAGTGATTGTCCTGAGCGTCTTCATCTGTATCTTACCGTTCTTCTTCTACCTTACAGCAATGATACATGGTACAAAGAAACAACAGAGGCTTGTAGAAAGTAAGTATCGTGTGGCGTGCTCCGACAGGATTTTTAAGTACCCTTAATTTCTAAACTTACATGTATTCCACGTACACACCTCTGTCAAAACACGCCATAGTCAAATTATAAGGCTAACAGAAATTTTGTGTACTCGTCTCCAGATGTGGGTTTTTCTTTGGGTATGATCATTTCAGCTCCGTCGAAAATGTTTTTCGGACTTTAGCATGAGCAAACAGGTCATGTGACACAATACATTACCACTTTCCAGATATCCAGTCAACCTTCTAAAGTCTGTTAACTGGGCTTTGGTAGAAACAGACTGGTGACATTCCTATAGGGGTTCTTTTTTCCTGACCTTTTCTACATTGAAATACTAGTAACAATTTTACAAGTCTCCTGTATAAATACTTTTAATAAACATGCTGGTTATCTTTGCGATCAATGATCATAGAAACTTTGATTTTTTTTTGAGATCATTAATCATAAAAATATATCTTGGTGCTATATATTTGATCTACAATTATTGTACACCAAAAAATGACTAATAAATCAGTAAAGTGATTGCAGAGAATATTTGAATCTTTTTCCTCGCGTGTGCATGGTAAACTAGAAGAAAAAATATGTAATTTTGTATTATTTTTTAATGTTATAAAATATCCCTTACAGAATCTAAAAAAGGGAATCAAAGAGGATTATCTGCATCAGCAAGACTCTATGCTGGGACAACGACATCATTGCGCTAGAGTATTAAGCCTTGAGTACAGATCATTGAGGACTGAGGACGGTAAACAAACAAGAGACTCCAAAGATCTACCCCAGAATCCTTTCACCAGCACCAGGGTTGCCTAGGCCAATAATGGCCGAGAAGTATGCGTAACGCACCTCGCCGATCTGGCAGGAAGGTGCCAATTGAGGTGAGGAGTTTTCGTGGACCGGTGGATCTGAGATTAAGTTATTAAAAAAAGGAAAAGAAGATGAAGAAAAAAAAAAGAATATATTATCAAAAACTAGAGATTTATAAACAGAATGAATTTCCAAATACATATAGTAAACGAAAAAGTAAGACAAAAAAGGGAAAGGTGTAAATATTCTTAAAAAGAATGAAACGCTATAACACCAAAAAACAACAACAGCATTGCAAAAATAATTTATCAGTTCTACCGTGTAGAAAGCTCATTGATGGAGCTTCTCATGGTAAGTATTTGTGATGCCTGCCTGGTAAGCTAACACAGGAATGAGATTCCTCCACAGATCAGCGGATTTGCGCTGATTTTGATAATTCAGGACGGGAAAAAACAGAAATTAAAGTTTTTTGTCTTTCTTTTTCATCTGAACATTGTTATAGAGTCCCTTTAAGGTAGATGGGGGTAACAAATATTTTCTCAAATTAAGAATTTAAATGCAAGGAAAACGTGTCCGTTTATGATAGGGGGAGGGGGCACAGACCCCATAACCCCCTCCTAGGGGCGTTGCCAGGGGACCCTCATTTAATAATCTTCCTCCTTTTTGGGAAATTTCTCTGTCTCATCCCTGATATCACTGTTGGTGATTGTCATGGTGACTATCTGTGTTGCCTGCCTGGTAAGATTACACTGCTGGAATCAGATTGTCTTCAATTTATTGTCTGCCATTTTGGGTATTTATAACGTCAAGAGTAATATTCCTATACTTCACCCAGCTGCCTCTATATGCACTAATAATCCAGATTGTGGTGATAATACAAACCTGCTGTAGTGACCACCTGTCTACAAAGACCACATTTTTGTTTCCCTTGAAAATGGTTTCTCATTGAAACATATACTAAAGGCAACTGTCTATAAAGACCACCTGCCTATAGAGACCACTTTTCTTGTCTCCCTTGTGTGGTCTTTATAGACAGGTTCCACTGTAATACAATGAGGTTCATATTGATAAGAGCAGACTTATTTCTGTGGGTACATGCCTCCTTGCACATGTATTTCTAAAAACATTTGTAGCACTAGCTGAAGAAGATATGAAGTTTTCATACTGTGCACACCAAACATATTTGTAATAGAAGCTTTGCTATTTGTGTTCTTGACTTTACTCAAATAACTAACATTTCTGACTTGGACTATTACAAAAGGATAATGCCAAGCTTTTCAATCCTTAAGATTTCATGTCATTTCATATTCAGTCAAAATTATAATAACGATAATACACTTTACCTGTTTCTGGCATTTCGATGATGAAATGTGAATGCATATTTGGATTTCATGACTGACTTTGATTTTGGACTATAATTATCATGCACCATGTCTTCCATGAAACGAAATCTGATGAAAAATAAGAGAGTAATGAATTTTGAAGGCTGCAATAAATCAAACACTGATATGGCAACTCTGTAATGTATCTTGCAAGCTCTTTTCCAATTTGCTCTGTACAGAAAATTTCATTATCTGTAATTTTCTTATACTCTTTTCACACTGGTTTTGCTTAACCCCGTACTTTGCTTAGCCCCGTACTATCCTTAACCCCGGACTATTTGTTTTGGCTTTTCACACACGATGTTTTTAGTCCAGTACTAGCGCCTATTCCGGAATAAGAAAATTCCTGCTGTTCTCACTGCATTTCGTTAACCCCGGATATCGTTAATGTTATGATTGGACATACTTCGCATCTGGCCAGCTGCGATACGCTCCATTGTGTAGTACCGGACTATTTTTCGTTTCTGTTCTCATTCATTTGCTTAGCACCGCAATTGCGGGGTTAGCAGGAGTTAGCACCACAATTGCGGAGTTAGCCCTGCTATTTTGCAGGGTTAGTTAACCCCGTACTATAGGTGGGGTTAGCCAACTTTAGCCCACTTTGGTAAAAACCAGTCTGAACAGAAAGTGGAATAGGCTTAACCCCGTACTATAGGTGGGGCTAAAACTCCCCCTTAACCCCACCTATAGTACGGGGTTAAGCAAAATATTGCCAGTGTGAAAACAGTATTAGTTATTGATGACGGAATAGATTTGTTTCATACAGTGGTTATGTAAAAACATATTTGCAATGATCGTATATAAGGACAGGTGAATGTATGATTGAAACTTTACTTGAAGAAAAATATAAAGTTTTTCAGTACAGGGCAAAGATAATAAAGATAATAAAGGTGATAATAAAGGCGATAATAAAGAAAGTGAATCCACTGTGAAAGACTCAAAACTAGTGAAGGAAAATATTACAGCATAACAAGGCATGTTTATATTCTTTATACAGTAAGGGAATAAAACAACAGAAGAAGGCTTAATATTGAGATGTGAAATTTAAACATGTATTTTACTTTCTAAAAGTTTATATTTTGCCTTTCTGGTATGATAACTCTCTCTATATATACATATAACTTATTATAAAATCCTTTGAAGATTCATTGGAAGCAGGAGTTTTAGTCATTTAGACTCGTTCAATATTGTCATAGCTCGAGCAATTGTTTCTTGTATTACACTCATAGCCATCCAATATTATATTAATATTTTGGATACACCTGACTTTTTGTGCCATATCAAGTAATTTTGTTGTCATCGTCTCAAAAATTTGTTTTGATATTTATATATTTTCATTATTATAGGGTGCAAAGTTGCAAACTGTACACCTATAAAAGACGATATTGTTTTTTCAAACGTATGTAAATGATAAATGTAAAATTTGTACATGTATTTAATTGTAATAATACTGAAGTATAATTGTGTTTCCATTGTTATTGTCAGGAATTTGCAATATTGTACTTTAAATAAAAGGCTATCCAAAGTGTTGCAATTATACTAGCTTATTTAGGAAGAAAATTTACTGATATGATATTGATGGTAGTTTAAAAGTAAATAACTTGAGTTTAAAAGTAAATAACTGCCTTGGATACTTTTAAGAATAAACTTTTGAATACTATTACAATTCATGGCTTGTGTTTTGTTTTGTTTTGTTATGCTTGCAGATTGTCAGAGAGTATAAAAGCAGAGCCATAATGCATTTTTTTTTAAATTTCACTTGATTACACTAAAACCATGAACTTAAAGGTAAAGACCAGTTTTGGAAACGCCTCCTTCTAAAAAAATAAAATGGAATCTCTTATTACCAGTCATGTGAAAGAATATGCTTTGACTAATACGTGATGACACAAATTTTGCTGAGAAACTGCCTACTAATTGATATATTTGGTAAATTATTATATATACTTGGACCTGATAGATATAACGCATGTGTCGCGCACATGTCGCGTAGACCCATGTACATCTCTCTGTGTGCAGTGCTTGTAACTTTACCAAGACTGGGCCAAATTACTTATCATTTTGATGATTCCAGAATCTTGCAGTACACACCAATACTTAATATACTAGATGATCAACCTTTTCTGATCGATTCCACACCGTTTCTTTCCCAATGCAATGGCATGACCAGAACTAGTCTTTACCTTTAAGATTTTGACCTTGCAAAATGAATGTATTTCCTAGACTAGCCTGCTAAAGATAAACATGTATAGCCTCTATTTACATGGTAATGGAATGAAACCTCGATTGCCCAAAGTCTCCTTCCTTTAGACTGAATTGGAATTTAAGATGGTTATTTCTTTTTGTCTGGTCCAAAATGTCATGTCTTGTCTGCTTATCTGGGGCGAGTTTAAAGCCCCTCGAAAATGTTGGGAGCCCCAAATATTTGATGGAAAAATGTCACAGAAACTGTGTCATAATGTGAAAGAGAATGTCATTTAAGACACAGACTTTTTTCCAAAAAAATGTGTTTGAAATCGAATATTGATGAAAGAATACAAAATTGAGGTTTTCTGAGACAACAGAAAACCCAAAATATGTATTCTTTTATCAACATTACTCTTCTAACCCATTTTGTTTTGGTGGGGGGGGGGGGGAATCTTGCAGATGTGTGTCTAAGTGACATTCTCTTTCACATTATGATAAAATTTAGAACTTTGCCGGTAATTTTTTGGCGAATTTGGGGCTCCCAACATTTTAGAGGGGCTTTAAACATCTCTAATCTCTTTCCCATTCTCTAAATCCGATGCTCCTTTACATCTATACCTTTATCTCTCTTTCTCTTATGTCTCCCTTTTGCTCTCTCCCTCTCTCTCTCTCTCTCTCTCTCTCTCTCTCTCTCTTGTACCCCTTCTCTGCCCCTCTCTCTCTCTCTCTCCTACCCCCTATCTCTCTCTCTCTCTCTCTCTCTCTCTCTCTCTTTCTCTCTCGCCTACCCCTTCTCTCTCTCTCTCTGTCTCTCTCTCGTACCACCTTCTCTTTCTCTCTCTCTCTCTCTCTCTGTCCATCTCTCTTACCACCTTCTCTCCCTCTCTCTCTCTCCTACCCCTGTTCTCTCTCTCTCTCTCTCTCTGTCCATCTCTCTTACCACCTTCTCTCCCTCTCTCTCTCTCTCTCTCTCTCTGTCCATCTCTCTTACCACCTTCTCTCTCCCCCTCTCTCTCTCTGTCCATCTCTCTTACCACCTTCTCTCCCTCTCTCTCTCTCTCTCTCTCTCTGTCCATCTCTCTTACCACCTTCTCTCTCCCCCTCTCTCTCTCTCTGTCCATCTCTCTTCTCACCTTCTCTCCCCCCCTCTCTCTCTCTCTCTGTACTTTTCTCTCCTCTTCTCTCCTCTTCTCTCCTCTTCTTTCACTACCCATGTTTACTCCAATGATATTGCATTGTTATTATGAAACAGACAACCGTTTGATTTCCTCTAAGATTTTATTATAATTATGTATAATTTGAAAATTAATAAGATACTGATAACTTCTTAAGGACTGTTTTTAGTGTTATTCATTTTTGGGGCATTTACAAAGCACTCAAAAGTTTGTTGAATGAGTTTTTTATTTATCTATTTATTCACTGGGCTTGTTAACAAAGGGGTCGTGAAATAAAAACGGAATTAAACTATCAGATCAAAACAAAGAATACATATACGCAGAACAAAACTATTGGGCCTGACAGGGCATAAACATTTATGTATAGTAGGTGACGATTGAGGTTAAGTTTTGAGCTTATATATCTTGATTTTTACTTCAACTTCAAATCTAATGTAAGCATGAGTCAACCACTCTAATATGATTTGAATATTTACCATCAATTACCCAAATCTGTCCCTGTACACACCCTGCCTGTACATCACCTATATATACTGTATACACAAATCAACTTATCAAGTAATACATCTCTAATCCTATATTACATTGATGTGTAACATTGCCATTTTGTTTTTTCTTTTTCTTAATTATATTTAATCTGAATTATAAAAACCTCCAAGGGGAGACTGAAGAAAAAATTGGTCTTGAAGTGGATTTTATGTATAAATTGTGTTATACTTTTTCAAGGAGACAGAAAACAGAGTCTCAATTTCATACGCTAAACTAAATTACACTATTAGATATGTTAAAGTTGATTTAACTGATGGCGACTGTATTATATAGTCACCCTACATCTACTCCTCATCGATGTTTTGGTTAAGATTCTGCCACAGCTCGACGTGGTCATCCTCCTCCTCATCCATCATCTTATCCCTCGCATCCATCTCGGCGATGTCGACTAAGAAATGGACTGCGAGGTCCCCCGACGTGGTCAAAATCTGGTGGTTGACTTTGATCTCGGTAGGCGAGTAAATGATTTCCTTCTTGGGGTTGCACCTGCCCCCTCCTACCAAGGCATCCCCGCAGGTGATAGGTCGAAGGTTGAGGTCAAAGCACATGCGCACTTCTAACAAGAACTGGATACCTTTTACTTCCTGTTGCCACGGTAACCAGTAAATAAACCATGCGCATTAGTATTTATTGAGGTTATGTTATTTGCCCTGTATAATTAAAATTTTGCATTCAACTTCTTCGTCTGAACTTTTGAAGTTGAGATCAATCAAACACAGAGCTCCTCTCTCATTTGCTCCGTAACAAAATAATCCGATATTTTTTATATTCCCTCACAAAGATTTTCATCGTATACATACACCCTAAATATGATTATGGCGATATTTGTTTGAATCAGGCGCGTACGCAGGGGGTGGGGGGGGGGTGAACCCCCCCCCCCTTTAACTTTTTTATGTGTGTGTTTTGGAGGAACCCCCCCCCCTTGTTTGTTTTTGTAATTAAAAAAATAATAATAAAAAATAAATAAAACAATTGTGGTAATGGTGACCCCCAAAAGCTGACCTTACCCCCCCCCCCCCAAACGAATCTAAACATTGATCGGCCAAATCTTCAAATTTAAGGACACACAAAAAATAAAATATGTCCTCTTACCCCCCCCCCCCCGCTTTTTCAGCGGCTGGGAAGTTTTCGGCGTGATTTTTACATTTAACCCCCCCCCCCCCCCCCTCGAAAAAAATCCTGCGTACGCACCTGGTTTGAATACAACCCGTGTATGGACAGTTCTATTTTGTCATCAAGAACGAAAAAAGGTGTTGGCAATTTTTCTTTGATTGATCGCAACTTGAAAAATTAATTACTTTCTTATCTTTAATCAACTTTGTTCAGACTTTAACTGAACTATTCCTCTAATTTTCTGCTTCTGATAAACCCAACTTAATAAGGTGGACTTCCCCTCATATTTAAAAAGATACCACAAAGTAAATGAGTGGATAAGGTTTTCAAAATACTTTTTATGATAGGAGTTGATAATAATTCATGATTATTAATTATTATGTATTGAATAGGCCGCTAACTTAGATCTACTTAATAAAATTTGGAGTGGACTTTAAAAGATTATTATTATCATTATTATTATTATAGTTATTGTCATTCCGAAACTCAACTAATATATTTTGGTAATTGAAGAGAAGCAATGAATACAGATTTGCGCTCTTCAAGGTAAATCTCAACAACAAAAAAGGAAAAGAGAGTAATTGGACATTTTGGTAATGAAGATATGAATGAATGAATATATGAATGAATGAATAAATAAATGAATAAACAACTAAATACATGAAAACATAAAGTAAGGAACGAAGAAATGGATGGATGAATGAATGAACGAATAAATGACAAATAAATGAATGAATAAATGAATAAATGAATAATAAGTGAATAAATAACTAACTAAATAAACAAATGAAGGAAGGAATAAATGAACTGCTGAACGAATGAAAGAATGGATGGATGGATGGATGGATGAATAAATGAATGAGTTGACTATAGGTTACTTGATGACTCTTTTACTTTAAGCATACCAAGTGGATACCCGGGCAACTTACATAACAGTAGACCGCCGGAAAGACGCCAAGCCCTTTATACAGTGCTGTATTGACTTGAGCCAATGTATACCTGTCATGGATGGAGGGCACAACTCCGTCGTGTTGTAGGATTCTAAACATAGAAAAATGGAATAAATCTCAATCATCAATAAATTGATATTTGTTGATCATGTTAGTTTATTTCTTTAAAGGGCAAGTCTCCAAAAAAAAAACGTACTTTCAATAGAAGCAGATAAATCAGACAAACCAATTAAGTTTGAGCAAAATCAGATAACTAATAAGAAAGTTATTAATTTTTGAAGAAGTATCTAGAACTATGAGAATCGCAACACAAATTGCACATATTATGGTTATCAGTTTGTGACGTCATGTCCTCACTATTTATCAATTGCTTTATATAGTTAAATCCCATTAAAGGGGAAGTCCACCCTGAAATTAAGTTAGTTTTAATAGGAGTAGAAAAATGAGAGAAACAAGTCAGTGAAAGTTTGAGCAAATTCCGATTAAAAATAAGGAAGTTAGGAATTTTGAAGTTGTGATCAATCAAACATAAATTGGCAAATCTATGACGTATCATGCGAGCTCAACTTCTATTTGCTCAGTACTAAAAAAATCTAAAATTTTCATTTTCCCTCAAGAAAAATTTCAACCATACATGCACCCTAAATATAATAATTGCAAATATGTTTCTATACTCCCCCTGCAAGGAACAAATATATATTCCGTCATCAATAACGAAGAAAACATGATTTTATGGAATATTATGCACAAAGCAAATGAAGGAGAGGTCGTATAATAAGTCACAGAGTTGCCAATTTGTATTTGATTGATCACAACTTCAATAATTCATAACTTTCTTATTTTCATTCAGAATTTGCTCAAACTTTCACTCACCTGATTTTCTTATTCTGCCTCTATCGAAACAAACTTATTTGGGGGGTGGACTTTCCCTTTAAAGGTAAAGACCAGTAATGGTCATGCGATTGCATTGTGAAAGAAACGTTGTGGAATCGATCAGAAAAGGTTGATCATCTAGCATCTAGCATCTGCAAGGTTCTGGAATCATCAAAATGATAAGAAATTTGGCCCATTCTTCGTAAAGTTACAAGCACTATACACAGAAAGATGTATATGGGACTACCCTATCTCTCTCACCAGACCATGAGAGAGATAAATTTACCAAATATATGAATTAGTAGGCAGTTTCCCGGCAAATTTTTTATCATCATGTATTAGTCAAAACATATTCTTTCACATGATTGGTAATGAGAGCTTCCATTTCATTTTTTGAAATTGGGGCGTTGCCAATACTGGTCTTTACCTTTAATTTCCCTTTTTATCCCCCAAAACTTGATTTCCCCATGCCTTTGCCCAGGTTATATGATTTGTATCATATTGCGTGCATGACATTTCACATCTTTTATGAACTATGAAGAATTGATACTATTTTCTGAATATTGTATATTCATAATTATTGATTTATATATATACATGTATATATAGTTTATCAAAATTCACAATTTTCATGATTTAACTGAAAAAACAACAACTCTATATTGAGGCATCCACACACAAACATATAACTATCAATCTAACTTGGATGCTGTTGTGAAGAAATAAAATTCTAGGGAGAAAATAGGAAATTTATATTATCAATATAAAGAAAATAATTAGTGGATAGTGAGGACATGACGTCACAGACTCATGAGTGAGTTACCAATTTTTCTTGTGATTTTCACAGTTTTTCATGTCATTGAAAATTCATAACTTTCTTATTAAATATCCGATTTTGCTCAAACTTTTTTGATTGGTTTGTCTGATTTTTCTGCTTCCGCTGAAATTAAGTTATTTTTGGAGTGGACCTTTAATGATCGTATGAAACTTTGTTTTTTCAAAGGCATTTTTTTCTAAGGTTAGATTTCTTCTCACGATTGCTTGCTTTGTAAGCTCGCAATTCATTCACCTGTTTATTATCAGCCAACCTTTATCATGAAACCAACCCTCCTATTTTGTTTGTCTTTTTTTTCTCTTTCTCTCCCTCTCTCTCTCTCTCTCCCTCCCTCCCTCATTCTCTTCACGCTCTCGATCTCTCCCCTATCTCTCTCTCTCTCTCTCTCTATCTCTCTCTCTTTCTCTCTCCCTCTCTTCCTCTCTCTCTCTCTCTCTCATATTCTCTCTTTCTCATTCTCTCTCTCCCCTTCCCCCACTCTCTCTCTTCATTTATCTACCTACGCAAAAAGAAAAACGTCATTAACGGTACGTATAGCATTTCGGCGGTAAACCTACGTTTTGATGTCGTACTGGCCATAGAGACGAGTCGCATCTTTGAAGTACTCCTGTTGGGGCCTAAAAACTGACGGATCGAAGGGGCACATTCCGTGTTTCTCAAATTCGTGTTTCCTGGCGAAGAAATTTACGTACTGACGAGTTAGCTCCGGTCATCATTCGGTACACAAACGAACGAAAAGAGACAATACAAGACAGTGCAAGTATGATGATCTTTGGTACATCCGAACAGTCTTTGGAAATATGATAACTGCACCCCAAGGTTCTAAACTCATTAAGATCATTTTCTAAACTTATCCAAAAAGGAGAGACAACTGCACTCTCGACGAAAAAATGTTCAATTAAATCGTAGATGTCTGCATGGGCTACACAAATTATTATCTTGGCCCGTAATTATCGTTATTATTATTACTAGATGTATGCGCACAATACGAATTTCCCACAATCGCATCAGGAGTCACAATGTTTACATACATGACGCATTGCAAAATAATGATCACTGTTAGTACACAGTAGGGCAAGTCCACTCCAATAATAACTTTCTTTCAATAGAAGCAGAAAAATCAGACAAACCAATCAAAAAAAGTTTGAGCAAAATCGGATAACTACTAAGAAAGTTGTGAATTTTTGAAAAAGTATGTAAAATTGAAAGTAAGTTATTTTTGGAGTGGACTTGGACTTTGTAGCACTCGATAGTTTTGCTTTCATACACACCAGAACTTGTCATTAGGTCCGCCCCTCAGATTGGGCCATTTTTGGTTCATCTCATCACGCAAGGTACCCTGAAAATGTGGGGAAATCAAATCATGATTTATTTTGCCTCTTGTTTTTGAAAGTTGTTTTAATACATGTTTATTGACATTTTACAAATAACTTATCAATCTGAAAATATGTCAGTGGTGATGCTACCAAGAAATTATGAGTTAGAATGTCTATGATGGAAAAGTTTATCACGAAATGCAAAGGCGAAATATTATGTTTCTTGTGCACTGATGTGCGTCAAGCGTTCTCTCTCTCTCTCAACATTATTTTAAAAGTTATATTCGTTTAACATTCATGCTAATTACTCTCAAGCTTTATCTTATATTCTTGTAGATTCAAACTGAATTTAGGGGGTGCTGCTGAGAGTTACCTGTACGAAATGTCACTGAGAACGATTAAATACATTTTAAGATTTGGCCAATCAAATCATCATGGCATTTCTTTAGACATCCCGTAAAAGCGGGATAAATAATTCGAAAGTGACTTTAAGAGCATTTTAATGATTAAATTTATTATAGTAACAAGTGTGAGAGCTCTCGAACAAGACGGTGCTTACTCTAATGAGTGTAGAGTCGTACTCCCCTGGGCAGTATGTCGGAGTGTGTTTCACACCACTCGCAAAAGGCCTGCAACGAAGTGAGAAGGGGATTAACAAAATATATAAATCTGGCAGAAATAAAGCATTTGAGTTAAAAGAAACTTTTGGACAAGTACTTAAGAATATAGGAAACACACCATGCCACAGCTAAACTTTACAGGTTATGCTTCCATAATTTACAACACGATGCTAATCTTCATCTCCCTATTCATTGTGCATTATTTGTTTATTCGTTTGTCCCCTTATCTGTATTTTTGCTATAAGAAGCGAGACATAAAATTAAAATTGCCTTCAAGATCCCCACAAGTGATGATGTCATACATTCAAAAGGTAAAGTACATTATGATAGAAGTTCTATAGTCCATAATCCCAGATTCATTACAGAAGATTCATTTTCCATCACTCTGGAACACGTAAATGCCATGCTTACCCGTAGGGACTCATTTTGTTTCTAAACTTTGCGAGCGAGCGAAGCGAGCGACCACAAACACAATAGATGTGATATAACGTGTGCGGGAACCTCGCTGCCCAATACACGAATACAAAAATCATATATTGGGCCACCTCGATTCATCAATATGAGGATATTCGGGTCTCTCGTTGTCAACAGCCACCCTGTTTTCAAATGTTACGGGAGAGCGAAGCGAACGAGCGTGGTTAAAACGTAAGTTCGATATATGAGATACAATCGGGCACCTTGCTGCCCGAATGTGATGATATTCGGGTACCTCGCTATTCAAGAGATATTCTGGTACCTCGTTCCCTAACTAAAATAGGCACTTGACACGTCACTGCCTGAAATCAGAACGTTTCTGTGTGTTGCGAGAGAGTAAAGCGAACGAGAAAATATAGAAACTTAATCCTTTTTAAAATGTTACCAAAATGACATCTATTGAATAATGGATTTAAAAAAAAAAATCAATTTGTCATAAATTTCTTTCACGGCATCCCTAGAAATCTTCTGCGGTACCCCGTTTGAAAACGATGCTGCTTTATAATACAGGTATTTCCACTTACCAGAGCCCGTGTATTGTCCAAATCCTATAGTCCGAACTTGGCTTCACGCACATCTTCCATAGTTATATCACAAAAAAAAGAGAAAAGAATGAGAGAGTACGTGAGTTAGATGTATCACTATAATAGTTTGTTTGAAAGGATGGAGGGGGGGGGGGGGGTATACAAAGGATATGTTCAATAGTATTTATACTACTCTCCCTTAGTGCCTTGCGATCACACTATTACCCCCAGCCCGTCTACTAAAATACTATAGGCAATGGCGGTCTGCGACCAGTCAGCGACGAGCCTACGACCAGACGGTGACGAGTGCGACAGGTATTTTGATGGTCGCAGATAAAAAAAACCTTGTTTGTAAATTGGGATATCATTATTATCATGATAACCATCATCATGACCATTATTATTATCATCATAACCATCATTATTATTATCATCACAATCATCATCATCATCGTCATTATCATCATCATCGTCATTATCATCATCATCGTCATTATTATCATCATGACGTTCCTTTTTTACCTTGTGGCAAAATGAAGGGGGCCATGTTATCACTAAAGCCAACTTGTCAAATTTACCATCCTCCCTGCATTGTCAGAGAGAGAGAGAGAGAGAGAGAAAGAGAGAGAGAGAGAGAGAAAGGGAGGAGGGAGGGATGAAGAGAAAGAGAGTAAAATTGACAAAGACAGCCAGACAGATAGAGGGGAAGGAGGGAGGGAGGAAAAGGTGGAGAGAAAGAGGGAGGGAGAGAGTGACAGACAGATAGAGGGGAGGGAGAGAGATAGATAGAGACCGAGAGACATAGATATACACAGAGAAAGACAAAGAGACAGCGAAAAAGCGAGAGAGAGGGAGAAATTAAGTTGAGAGGATGCGGTGTTGGGATCCACCAAACACGCACGATGAGGGCGGAAAGAGGAGAGCAGAGATACAGGAATACAAAGAGAAACGGAAAAGGAGGGAGAGGGGAGACCATGAAAGACAGAAATAGACAGAGAGGAGAATTAAAGACAGCGATAGAAAGGAAGAAAACGAGGATAATATATCATCGATGTGGCCTTATTTCATTTCTTCTTCTTTTCTGTTCAATCTTTATTAAAGTTCAAATTTTACTTGTGTTATTTCCCTTTGTAGTCATTGTATAACAAAATAAAATGTACTATTATTATCGTACCTTGCAACTCCGCTATGTTGCTTTAAAATCTCTCTCTCTCTCTCTCTCTCTCTCTTTCTCTTTATTTCACTCTTTCATGGGTATCTATTAGAGTCGGGCTAGTTAAACATGAACAAAGTGAATCATTCTGATTAATATAAGTCCTGAACCGAATCAAATTTGGAAGAAAAATATCACTTACCCGACTTGATTGAGGGATTCACGAAGTACACTACCTTCAGCGGTGTACACGTATAGCAGAACAACAAGAAACAGAGTGATCGAAAAGCGCGCCATTTTAACGGGAGAAATCAAACTAAGTTTACTATCGATATTGATATCTGAATGGAAGATGTCGTCTGCTTTGGTTTCCGGCTTCAAAATAGTAACAAGGGCAATTTATAATGACTGTTATTAAATATGGTTGAAGACTTAGATTTATATTTTTGTTTCTAAACAGGATGTGAAATTACCCGTACTTTTCAAATCAAATTCATCATTTGCAGACATGTAGGATATCATTTCAATACCTTTTGTAGATGTTTTACTTGCAACAGGACGTAAAAAGAAAATTCATTAATCAGTGCTACGTGATAATTCTCACAATTCGACCTTCTCGTGACAAACAAAAAAATGAAATCCGTTAAATTCTTGAAATCAATCACTCAATATTGTTTTAACGACATACAGCCTGCAAACTCATTTTTTGGTACGTTTATATTTTTATCCGTAGTATTGAAAATATTCAGTTACATATAAAGTCGGAAAAACTTATCTTACCTCTCATCCTGAAACAATTGTGACAGTATGATCTATTCTTGATAGATAAAGTTTGTGACTTCTAATAACCTTATAGATCAATCTTTTGCCTATTTAGAGAGATAAATAAAGCTCAGGGAAAAAATTATCTATCAGGAATAAACCATATTGTCGCAACCATTTTCATGAAAAGGCGAAGAACAAACTTATTCCAAATTTACGGGGAATTGTGCAAAAAACCAAGTAGGGATTAAGGACAAGGAAAATTCATGTCCATTTATCGATTCTTTATTTTCTCTTCCATTCTCTCTCACTCTTTCATCACTCTCTCTCTTCTTTCTCTCTGTCTTTCTTTCTCTTACCCATCTTTCCCTCTTCTCCACTCTCTTCCTTTCTCTGTCTCTGTTTACTACACTCAAACCGCCAAAATAATATCGACTAAGGCAGTGAGGGTAGGTCGCATAAGCAGTCATAGCAGGTTTAAGAAGATAGTCGCGTGTCTGAATTTAAAGGTTTTAAAAGATAATTCAAAACCCCGGGGGAGGGGAGGGGGGGGGGGTACTCACATATTAAGACATACCGGGATGTGCTGCTCTAATGGGTCGCTTTTTCACACAAAAAATCCCTAAACAGGGGTCGCATTAAAAAAAAATATATCACTAAACATGGGTCCGTTTTTCCAACATTTTCAAAAAAAAGTTTTCGGGTGTAATTTACATAGCAAACACCCAAATATTGCGAAGATGGGTCTATATTTCGAGAAAAATCCCTAAAAACGGGTACCATTTTCTGCCAAAATGACCATTAAAAACGGGTAGGGGGTTTGAGGCTTGAGCGGCACACCCCATCCAAACCAAAAAGGAGTACCTCCCCTCCCCGGGTTCAAAACTATATGGGGGTAATTTTTTTAGTGTGAAAAGTGAGGGAAATTTATGGTTTCCTTGGCTCTCTTTTAAATCGTTGACATACAACACGAACGGGTTGTGAATCTGAATCTGTTCTTTTTTCCTGGTCCTGGTCATGATCCTTAAAGTGGGATATATCATTAGTAAGAACATAAGCGTTCGAGAGAAAGTGTGTAGTGTATTTAGTGCATATCAGTTGAGTTCCATCAATTACAGCCTCTTGCATGGAGGGACTATGCTTATATTGCATGTATTGTCCTTTTGGATTGTTTCCCAGAGTCTAGTTTTAAAGGTTTCTACTGAATTGTAGGCAACAATAATTGGGGGAAAGTAGATTCCAGGACCGAATGGTTCTGGAAAGAAGGTGAGCCTATATAGGCATCCGTGTCGCATCGTTTGTTTGTTTAATTTCCGAAAATCATCATAAAAACAATAACACAATAATTATAACAAAATCAAAGACATATATAACAATAAAAGAATGATAAAACGGTTGGTTAGTTCATTTCAGAGCAATTAACATAATGGCTCTGTTCTTCCAAGTTTGATAATAAGAGACTATGGTGTCCCTTCGAGTATCTTCCGGGGTTGCATAATGTATTCAGGGAGGCGTTTCACAAAATTTGTCATCAGTGACAAATAACAGTTTTTGTTATAAGCTACTGAAATTCTTGCTCCTGATTGGTTATCATCAGATTTGTCACTGATTTTTTTCATTTGTCATTGATTTGATTTGATTTATTGATTTATAGGCTTTTTGAAACGCCCCCAGGTCTCTGGGTATGGCGACTTGATCTCTAAAGCAGGGCTCCCACTTAGCCGAGTTGGAACCTCGAGTTGTGGCGAGCTGGCGCGATCATATGGCAAGCCGTTTTATTATTAATTGATATCAAGAAATCTATTCTTGATATCGAGAAATAATTTTACGTTGTAAAGCAATGGTAACTCTTGATATCAAGAATTTGATTTCGTGATATCAGGAATTCGATTTCGTGATTTCAAGAATTGAATTCTTGATATCAAGAAATATGTATTAATGATAAAACTGCTTGCCATAAGATCACGCCAGCTCGCCACAACTCGAGGTTCCAACTCGGTTAAGTGGGAGCCCTGCTTAATGGATTTGAAGAAGAGTGATTGTCATTTTAGTTCACCCCTCAGTTGCGATACACGAACGTCTGTTTCATATTATTTTTCCGGTGACAAATCTTGCCCCTCTGTTCTGAGCTCCCTCCCTGATGTGTATAAAGCCCGCCCCCCCCACACTCAGTGTTATTTAGGGTACGCGTATGCTTGTTCCCTCTTTTTGAAAACACCCCCTATCTGAGGACTGCCAACATTTCGGAAACCCCCTTTCGCGGGCTTTTCGCGGGCTTTTCCTGCCTTGGAGACCCCCTAAATCAAAAAAAATCTCACAGGAGTCCAAAGAGATGAGAAAAAAAAGAACCCCCCCCCCTTTTTTTTTTAAAAGAAATCTCCGGGTGAAAAGTCAAATACACCATTTTTTTTACAATTCTCGGGCCGGACTTTGTCGCACGAAAAGTACCCCTTTACCGGACATTTTGGTAACACGCATGCGGTCATTCCGACCCCGGAGTAGGGGAAGGGGGGGGGGGGGGGCTGGGGTATAAAGGTTGATAAGACTAGAAATAAAACATATACTTCTGTAATTCAATTCTCTTTATTAAAAACCCCATTAAAAAAATCCTATATCGAATATTTAAATATAAAATATTCACATAATTGAATTAGATTTTGAGATACATGTATTATCAATAAAGAATAGGTACTGTAAAAGAAAATGGAATAACAAAATTTTACTATGAGATAACCTTATCATAGTAATCCAATGAACGAAACATTTAGACGGTCCCTAGATAGTCAACAATCAGACATTAATACAATACACGAATTAGGTTCAGTATTATATACAAGGTAAAATATATGTTCATCAAATGATATTTAAATGCAAAGAACTACACTGTCGCTCATAAAGTTGGAATATTTTAGTTTTACCCCAATTTATGGAATTATTTTAAAAATAATTTTAAAATAATAGATCTAGATAATAGTATGCATTCTCAGATTTTATTGAATAATGATTTGGAATGTGTGTTTTGCGTGAATGCTAAAGCATGTGTATGCTACCATGCTTATCAGGTAGGGGACTTACGCCCTCAAGTCATAAATGACAGTAATGAGGATTAATGCCCCACAAAAGGGCACTAATATAGCACATCGACACGGTTTTGATCCTGGGGCCTCACAGTTACGAGGCCATTGCTTTGTCACTGAACCATGACTGTACGCAGCGGGGGCTAGGGTAGGGGGCAGCTTCCATAAATATAAAAAAACACAGAAAATGCAATAAATTTTCAATAATTTATTGCATTTTACCCGGGTCCCCAACATAAAAAAAATCCTCTGGACGGCCATGCATTATGGCTCAAGGCATAGGCACACAGAAGATTTTTTTTATGTTGGGTACCGGGGTAAAATGCAATAAATTATTGAAAATTTATTGCATTTTCTGTGTTTTTTTAAATTTATGGAAACTGCCCCCTACCCTAGCCCCCGCTGCGTACAGTCATGGTTCAGTGACAAAGCAATGGCCTCGTAACTGTGAGGCCCCAGGATCAAAACCGTGTCGATATGCTATATTAGTGCCCTTTTGTGGGGCATTAATCCTCATTACTGTCATTTATGACTTAAGGGCATAGGTCCCCTAGTTGATAAGCATAGTGGCATACACATGCTTTAGCAGTCACGCAAAACACACATTGGCAAATTGTTATTCAATAAAATCTGAGAATGTATACTATTATCTAGATCTATTATTTTTAATATTTTTTTTAATAATTCCATAAATTCGGGTAAAAAAAAACATATTCCACCTTTATGAGCGACAGTGTATATTGTTTACTTTGCAAATTAAACCTGTCGAATTTTAGTAAACGGGGGGGGGGGGGGGCAGATAAATGTCTCTTTCCTGTAACATATTAATAATTTGTTTTAAAGGGAAAGAAAGCATAACGATGTAAAACCAATGTAAAATACACGTTACGTGATCGAATTGGTGATAAACCATTCTTGAACATAACACGACCATTTGAATAAGTTATCTTGAGAACAAAATAATATCCAATTTGTTTCAGTGTATTCATGGATAGTCCTGAGAGTTTGAACATAATAAAATGACTGGTTGGAGACAATTTTTACAAATTGTATGCACTGTAGATAATCGATACTGTTACATATCAATTTCATTTTTAATAAAGAGATTTATAAATAGGATCTTGATTGTAAAGGAAATAGTGATATATTCAATATCAATCTATTGTACAATACATGTATAGATCATACAGAAGGCTTACGGTTGCACCATGTGAGAGAGAGAGGGGATGATTGGGGAGTCCTGAAAAGGACTGTCGCTAGTCTTTCTTTCCCGAGTTTGTGTGTAGTCATGAAAAAGACTGTTGGTAATCTTTTCTTGAGATTATAGTTAAGGAGAACTATAGCGCCGGTTGGAGAGGATAGGCAGTATGATTGGCTCGACGTTTCGAACAGTTTGACTATCCGTCGTCACATGGTGCAACCGTAAGCCTACTGTATATCTACATCACCATGCAAGCCGATACTTATAAGCAGCATCTAATGTATAGATCAGTTTTGCCAAATATGGCACTACACACTGTAAGCAGCCAATAATAATAATAATTTTTTTTTTATCCAGGTAGGATGCATCATTATCAATGCAGTTCTTTCTGAGAGCCCTGTAGTTATTATCAATCCAAAGTTATCTGAACACAGTTTGGCCAACTTAGCAATTAATTGTTTCCTCTAGGTCACAGCTTGACGTATATTATTTTGATTGTGCCCAACTTGAACCGGGTCGGTCACAACCTGGGGTTTATCATTTCATAACTTGGAGTCTTCATAAGTCTTCAGTTTTCCCAAAGCCGTACATTTCTCATGACTCGTTACCCATGTTTTTCTGAGAAGACTTTTGGCTATTTAACGATTATTATGATTCTTTATTCAGCTTTGATGTTGAATGAATCTTGTCTTCTGCTTGGTGGAAATTGGAGTGGTGATTTTAGCCATGCCCGCAAAGAAATGAACTATGCCCGTTGCCTAGTAATGGGCAATAGCTAATGACAAAGATCTCCCTTTCCCCCGGGTATATGGCCGCAAAGTATATAGCTTAATTTTTACTGAGATCTCAATTAGTTTACGTGTACAAAGTGTCTTTGTGCGAGCGCGGATACTATACAGTGTGTGTGCGATTCCCGAATTATCGTAATAATTCAGGCAACTTTCCAGCGAAGATTAAAACAATAACAGACAGTATATCTCAGACTATCTGTGATGTTTTAACCAATCTTTACTCAAGAAAAGGAAAATAAGGGAAGAATTCTTTGTAGAATATTTTGTGAATTCGGTATAAATAAAGATAAGATAAAGATATATGGACTGCTTTAATATTCGAGGCATAGCTGTTTCTACACTGGCTCTCGGGGATCGCCGCGGCGCGCCTCAGGTTCATAGCAAGATGTAACGTCCCCTTGAACCTGAAACAGCGATGCCTCTCATAGCAGTCAATATATCTATATTAACATTATATAAGAGAAACTCGATGAAGGTAAAGGTCATTTACACTCATCAGGTTTTTTGTATCACTTGTTACAATTTATTCATTTATTTCAGTTTAAACAGATAAAAATGCAAATACATATACATGTAGAAATATTTAGCAATTTACAAATTTTAAGAGAAAAATTTACAAATATAATTAAAAAAAGGAGAAGAAAAGAAAAATATGCAACGGAATAAACAAAGAAATGCAAATAAAATTGTTGGTAGGAAAAAGAAACACCTCGAGAGTTCTGTCGAGGCACCCATCATATTCTTACAGAAACATTGCAGTATAAATCAATTGATAAAATATGAAAATACAAACATTGAAACAGACATGGGGAAAGAAATAAGCAGTTTGAACAAAGGCCAGATTGACTTGTTATCAATATTGAGTGTTTACTCCAGTTTTTAAAGTGGTGGAGTAGAGAAAGTTGGTTTGCCTGGTTAAGTATGTAATATATTGTATCACCTATTTGCGGTTTATCGATTAACAAAGTTTGGCTTATGACAAGTGTACATACATAATAGTTGATTGACCTCAGGTTGTGTATTTTGTAAGTCCATGCCAAGAAACGGACGGACAGGAAAAGGTTTAAGTTCAAGATCATTTAACTTTTCTTCAAAAATAAAAATAAAAATGTGTAAATGTAACTAACTGAAAACTGTAACAAATCAAAATACAAATGGTATTGTTTGTTTGATGATTGTATTACCTGTCTGCTAAGAGAGCATTATATGCTAGTAAATGAACAACCAGGGGACCGACGGATTTGGGTCATGTCCGAGGGACTTGGTAACGAGGATTAATGCCTTATTAAAGGACACGAGCGCTTTGACTTGGTTTCGAACCCGGGATCTCCCAGTTACGAGACAACTGCTGTACCCCTGAGCCACCACGCCTTTTCATATTGACGATTCAAGATAAGAAAGTGAAATGATACAGAATGAGGAAAAAAAGATACACAATTTGGATGGAGCCACCAGAAAAACAGTATAATAGTCTTAATATGTGCGTTGGTATAACAGTAGAGAATGGTAGAGATTTGAATCTAGATATTATTATCCTCGAAAGCCTGGTTGACATGTCCGTTGTCTTCCTGGGTGACGTGTCCGTTGTCTTCCTTGTTTTTCTCATCCATTGAAGATGAAATGGTATGGAGAGTGTAGGTTTCTCCTTTCTGGTCTTCAAGATCCAGATCTTTCCCTTTCTTCCTGTAATGGAGTAAAAATAATGATTAAAAAATGAAAATGTAATTTTATGAAACACAGAATCTATGCAAATATAGATATTTAGAATTGAGGAGAGAGGATTGAAAGACCAGAGAATTGAGCTCCTGCAAAGGCGAAGAATAGAAACAGGGAGTTGTGCATTCACGTGTTTGCCGATAGTCGACGGATACGGCACCAGAAAGAGAGAGGGAGAGAGAGAACTTGAGAGAGAGAGAGAGAGAGAGAGAGAGAGAGAAATTGAGAGGGAGAGAGAGAGAGAGAGAGATGTTTAGGAAAGGAGCGAGATAGATATGTATATAGAGAGAGAGAGATATAGGAAGGAGCGGGACAGATAGAGACAGAGGTTATATAGGAAAGGAGAGAGATAGATATAAGAAAAGAGGGAGATAGAGAGAAAGAGGGAGAGAGGGAGGGCGAGAGAGAGCGAGAGAGAGAGAGAGAGAGAGAGAGAGAGAAAGATACAATTGGACACTATAAGAAAAGTTTTTTCGATAGTGATCAGAGAGACTGAATAATGTTACTTACGTTCCAAAGAGTTCTCCTTCTTCGATAGTTTGAGGAAGTTGAGCTCCCAGCGTTTCAGGAAGAAAGAGAATGAGAATCCCGGCGGTGATGGACAGGATACCAAAGATGAGGACTGGTAGAGGCTCCCAATAATCACTCAGGAGTAGAACATACGGGGATAAGATTCCAGCAACACGTGCACACATGGAGCAAAGACCCACACCAGCACTCCTAATAAGAGACATCAGGAGAAATAATCAGATATGAATGATATAACTATGTAATTAATCTGTTAATTAGCACTCCTCGCTCAAGTCCGTCACTATTATCAAATAATCGGTATTAACACTGCCTTCCCGCGGGCCCTGTAATTATATTAATAATAATAATAATAATAATAATAATAGCCTAATAGTCCACTCCAAATTTTATTAAACCGAAACGGAAATTCTTTTTGCCCAATTGATCGTGAGCCCGGAAGCCACTGAGCAGCGCCAGATCGACGTTGCTCTATTCCCTATTGTTGAACGCCAAACAAGGTAGCAACAACTCCCATCTTTTAACGTCTTTTGGTATGACGCGGCCGGGTTCGAACCCACGACCTCCCGGTTGTGAGGCGGACGCTCTGACTGAGCCAACACTCCGGTACCCGTCTACACCTGGTGCAATGTGGCAAATGTGGATTAATGTCGTGCTAAGGGACATTTGCAACGGGCTGGGATTCGATCCCTCAACTTTTGGATTGAGAGTCAAGTGAAGGAACCACTTTTCTATTCTTTCGTTCGTTTGTTTGTTTGTTTGTTTGTTTTCTCTTGCCAAGCAGCTTGGGAGTAGACAATGAACGCATACTATTTGTTTGTTTTGTCGGTGATTTCTATACTTTTTTTGTTTTTTGTTTTTGTTGTTGTTTACTTCATCAATGATTAACGATTTTGGCAAATAGAAAAAAACAAAATAGTGTGAGCACTGTGGTTTATTGGTAAAGGTCCTTGACTCTCATTTAAAAGGTCATGGGTTCGATCCTTGCTCAGTGCTGACATCCTTGTACAAGGTGCTTCGCCCTTGAGTGCCCTTAACACACATAATTAACCCTAACCCTAATGCTATTAATTCTGACGTGGCTACCCTAGGAAAATATCACAGCTAATATCTTTCAAATCAGTACAATGATGATGAGTCTGTTTTCATCCTAGTTAGAATATGAGAACGGATTGATCCTCTTACCTGACAGGAGTGGGGAAGAGCTCAGCCGAGAAGACGTAGATGATAGCAAACGATGCTGTGATACCGAACTTGCCCAACATAGCAATCGTTGTCGCCCAGGGTCCAGGAGCTAGAAGAGAGAGAGAGAGAGGGGAAGGAGGAATGGATGGAAAGAGAGAGAGAGAGAGAGAGAGAGAGAGAGAGAGATGAAGGGGGAGAGATTGTAGAGAGAGAGAGGGGGTGGACAAAAAAAAGTAGTTGAGATCGGATATCTAATAGAACAACATAATTTTAGAGACCATGTATCACTACGCACGATTTCAAGTAATGTAAAACTCTGTACACACGCCTCAAATATTGTGCCACAATATTAAGTGCATGCCTCTATCATGATGGGAGCATTATATCCACATCGAGTTAAGAGTAAGTGTTGAGAGCAGCCACTCCTACTGAGGTATACTTGATTATAAAGGGGCAAGAAACACATTCTTAGCATACATGATATCCGTCCTTGCATATTAAACAAGCTTCACACAATAATAGATGAATACGCTATAAACTACGACCCTAAACATACCAAGAGAAAACTGGTATAGAGGACAGAGACAAGAAATGTATTTCAAGATAGGCTAGATATAGACCTATAAGTAGTGTTTTCAAGATATATATTACAAGATATGTATTTCAAGATTCTTATTTCAAGATATGTATTTCAAGATATTTATTTCAAGATTTGTATTTCAAGATATAATTTCAAGATAATAATTTTCGAGATTAATAATTATTTAAGGATGTGTATTTCAAAATACTTATTTGCAAAACATGCATTTTTATAGTACTTCAAGACTTCAAGAAACCCTTTAAGATACAAATTAGGATTAGTATTTCAAGATAATTATATACTTCACTAAGCCATTGTATTTCCAGATATTAAAATGTTTACAAATGATAATAGTACATGCTAAAAACTAAAATGTAAAATCACCATTTAAAAAGGCCGAGGAGTGACCACTCTATCAAAACCGTAACACTTTGAACATGCTGGATCCAACCCTATACAGTTGAATCTAGCAGCATTTTTTTTAAAGTCTTAAATAAATCTTTTTTTTTTGAAAAAGCGATCACTCATCGGTCCCTTTAAATGATGATTTAACATTTGAGAAGTTGCATATATTAGGGACTTTTAGATTTGCACAACGGAGAACGTGGACTGCCCTTTTGAGGCAATGTGATGTCCTTTTAAGGCACTGGCAGTGACGTCACATTGCCTTAAAAGGGCAGTCCACGTTCTCCGTCGTGCAAATCTAAAAATCCCTAGTGATAACAATAATACTTACGAGTGAATATGGTACACAGACAGGCGACGCCTCCAAAAATCATATAGCCAAAGGTGCTCCATTTTCGACCAAAGTAATCGATAGCAAAGATACCCGTGATAACTGCAGGTATCTCCACAGCACCAGAGATGAAGAATGCTATGTAATCATTCGATCCAAGATCAGAGGTGCTTAAGGATAGACCATAATATACCATGGTATTCACGAACCTATATAAAGAGAAATGAATGTTACTCAAGGGGTCCCGTCTTATAAACAGTTGCGATTAATTGCTTATTTGCGATTTATATCAATCGCAACTATGTACATAAGATAAGAGATAGGAGACTGCAAACTTGCGACTGATCGGATCAATCGCAACTCTTTATAAGACGGGGTCCAAGTGTGAGAAACCAACATATTTGAAATGAAGGAATATAAATTAACAGAGGGTGTGCTTGACATCCCCGATTTTGTTTTGTTTTGTAGTGTTCTTTAATGTATTCAGTCAATACATGTACATCATTCAACTTATTTCAAATTGCAATACATAACAAATAGAGTACACAATATACACAACTCAATTATTTTGAATGAATACATTTTATCGTAATAACCCCCTCCCGGTTTATGGCCCCCTTGTTTTGAAAGTTATTTTATTGTTCATTCAATGCACAAGAAATAATAGAAGAATGATAACATATACATAATGCTTCATAATATTTCAAGATATTGGACTTATATTACTTTAACAGAAAATAGATATATTATAACAAATCGCAACTTTTCCATTTTTACATCTCAAACTATAACAAATGCATAACAAAGCATATACATTTAGTTACTAATTATCACAGATGGTAATGTGGGGTCGATAATTATGTAAACGATAACAAATAAGAAAGAAAGTTTAGCATTACTTTAGATAGTTTTCATTCTGCGATTAAAAAATAACACATTAAGACAACAAAAAAATAACTGTTCCTTTGCTATCATTTTTCATTTGTGTTCCGTTTTTGGTTAACATTATTCTTGAAAAGGGCAACATGAGACTCACTCCCGCACCCTCCAAGCGGTGGCCTCTAGGACGACTACCCCGGGACAACTACACCGGGACAACTACCCCCGAAACTACCCCACCCCAGTTGTCCTTGGGGGTAGTTGTCTAGGGGTAGTTGACTGGGGGTAGTTATCCGGGGGTAGATGTCCAGGGGTAGGTGTCCTAGAACCGTTTGATACTCTTACCAATTAAACATACAGTTGATAGTACGGATTCGGAGGTTAGGTGTTCGGAAGAGCACGATAACCGTGGCTTGCTTAGCGTTCAGAGCTTCTTGCTACATGGATAAGACAAGATTAAGATACAGTCATTAATTATTTAAGAGTAGGACCAACAGAAGAACAGCCTTTGGCTGAAGTTGGTGCCGTGCAAAAATAAAATAAACTGAACTGAAGAGTAAGAAATAAAGAAGAAAAAAAAAAGAGGGAAAGAGGGAAGGGGCAAGAGTTTGTTAACGTGATTTGTGGATGGCGATGGTTTGAGATGTAAACGTCCTTCATGTATACGTGTGGTCAAACGATGATATTAGGGACCTTTAGATTTGCACGACGAGAACATGGACTGCTACGTGTGACATTCTTTTAAGGTAATGTGACGTCCTCTTAAGGCACTAGAGAGAGAGAGAGAGAGAGAGAGAGAGACAGAGAGACACAGAGAGAGAGAGAGAGAGAGGGGAGGGGGAGGGCGATATAGACGGAGACATAATATACAGGAAAGGTGCATGGGAGGCAAATAGAGCGAACAGAGAGATGCGAACAAAATGAGAAGAGGGGTATAAAGCAAGATTTTATCCGTGGATTAATTTTTTTGGTACATCATGGTCAGATGATGCCACATGTCATTCATATCATTGATAACATGGTTTCATCCATTACACATATTTTGCAAAATGGAAGGTGTTTTCATGTACGCTCGTCATCATGATTATACATTTCTGTTTACAATTGTTTCTTTTTGATGCATCATTATTGATAGCATCCTTTTTATAAACCTGTAATAGTTGTCTATTCGCGAGCGAGCAAAGAGGTTGAGCAGAAAAGTTGATATTTTTCAAATTCTGCTAGCACCCAGGGATAGTGCATAAACACCAATTCCTTTTCTTAGTTACATCGCATTAGGTTGTCTTGTAAATCATTTGCGGCCACCCAAGGAACAAACTCTGAGGCCCGAATTTACAAAGGAGGTTTGTCGACAAGCCGAGGTTTATGTACGTCATAATTATGACGCGTTATGACGCGTTTTTTTACAAACCTGGTTTGTAAAAACGCGTCGAAACGCGTCATATGACGCACGAAAAACAAGGTTTGTCGACAAACCTTCTTTGTGAATTCGGGCCTAAGTGAATAGGGTGAAGAGGAAGCTACAGAAAAAGTGAATGTTGTTTTTTAAAGATGGATGGAAAATTATTTTAAGGACTATATTAAGCGGATATTCTTATTACCTGTTCCTTGAGTTCTTCTGGGGAAAAGATTGGATCAGGTAACTGTTTCTTATTGGTATCAGCGGCCTTCTGGATGATCTTTGTGGCTTCTTCAGTACGTCCTTTACAGATCAACCAACGTGGTGACTCGGGTAAGAATCTGAACATGAGACCCACGGCATACCAGGTAAGTAACAAATTCAGCTATCAAACATAATGTCGCTATAGTGATATGCGTTTGTCTCGCAGTGTATGGTCAACAAGGGATCTAAAAGATCATGACGTTTCGTGCGCCGTTGCTAAACTTCGTCAGGTGATAACATCTAGTGTAAGCATGCAAGCGATATTATTTTCGATACTACCTCCGCAATGAGAAATATATTTAGCATTAAATTCATTCATCGTTCCAGGAGTAACAAAAGGCATTTTCAAAATGTATTCAATTCTACAAAAGTTTACTTCGCAACGAGCTATTACATACCCATGTTATGTATTATTGCATTTCAATAGTCAGAATGTGATTGCATGTAGTATTTGTTGCTATGTAGGACAAACACAATGGCTTGACCCACCTATTGACACGTAGTTTTTTTGAGTATTGTGATACAATTATTCGTAATATAGGTGAATGAAATAATTTGTAATTAGGCACTTCGCAAAGACGTACGCATTGAGTTTGTTTACCGACGAAAATGGCATGCATCGAGTCTTTCGTTTTCTTTGTGCATGGCTGATCGTCAACGAAATGGAGTTAAGTATTTTGTCAACTCTGGTTGTTGCTACGGCAGGCAGCCAGTGAAAACGAATTTGTTTAATCAAATTATGGAAATGCAAGCATTACTTTAAACAAACAGAACTTTGTATGTTATTCCTGGCTCATTTTTCTTTCTTGAGGTGTCATATGAAAGGGCAGAAAATGATTTTGTTTATTTTCTCTTTGAAATTCCGATACCGGCCGCCAAATTACTTTTTGTTACCCTCTCTTCAAATAGTTTTAACTCACTCATTCGTGATCTATGCATCATATGGGTTGCATCAATGAAAGAGAAGGATCTAAACTTTACAAATTTATGTCATTTATTAATTAATATTGTGATTAAGTTATGATAAAACACCGATAATTCTTGGTTTCGTTTTTTCTGGGACGCACTGTATATAAAATACATACGGGTAGAAGCCAAAGAACAGGAGAGCTGGTAGAGTGATGACGAGCTGGAGAGTGAACCAGTCACGGATAAAGTATGCGAAGAGAGATAGTATTATGTAACCACCAGAGAATGCAATCTGTATACTCATCCCTGCTACAGTTCTTCTGTTAGGCCCGACCATCTCCGTTCCTAATTAACATTAAATCAGATTAAGAATAAAAATGATTAAGAACGTTGCCGACTAATCATGATGATTATAAAAAAAAATCATCATCATCATCAACATCAACATCATCATCATGAAAATCATAATCATATCATTGTTATAATAATTGTTATGATTAATATGACTATTATTATTGTTTTTAATATAAACATTATTATTATTATCATCATCATCATCATAATCGTTGTTGTCAACGTCGTTACCGTCGCCACCGTCGTCACCATATCCTAATCATTAGACAATATTATGTAACTTAATTGATGAACACATCTTTAATGATGCCAATGAATTTGCTCTTCCATTTTTCACATCTGCCCATATTACCTCAGTTACCTCTACATACCTCTATATATTCAGAAATACGGACATGGAATTATTATCCTCTGATCAGGGGCGTCGCTAGACCTTTTTCAGTGGGGGGGGGGGGGGGGGGGGGGGGGAGTGTAGAGGCCAACGATTACCGACAAAAGTAGCCACCAATAACTGACAAAATTAAATGTCCCAATATCTACAAAATTAACTCTATAAACCCGGGGCCGAAGGTTCAATTGTTTTTCTATGAACTATCTATACCGTGTGAGTAAAAAAAAAGTTTACACCTAAAAATTGCTAATTTAAAAAAAAATCATCTATGAACAGTAAATTATAATACATCTTATGAAACAATTTTTTTACCCCGGATCATTTAGTATCATTTTGTGTGGTATGTGTTCACGCTTGGATTAACAGGAGGCATTGTTTGCGAGAGTGCAAAAATCGACTTGCGCCAAAGTTGCTTAGGCCTATGTGATGTTTGAATAAAACAATTGGGATTTGGGTATTAATTCGGTCTTTGCAGATCCAAATAACATCCCTAACAAACTTAATCATGCCACACATATCAAATATCGAATATCAAATATCAACGACCATTTGTGCGCGCGTGTGTTTGTGTGTCTGACTTTGCTTCTGCAAAACTCATATGAAATGCATTTCATTTGATACATTCAATTCATTCTCTCACTCCGCTAATCCCAACATTATACATACTGTAGGCCTCACTTTGGCGCAAGTCGATTTTTGCACTCTCGCAAACAATGCCTCCTGTTCATCCAAGCGTGAACACATACCACATGAAAATGATACCAAATGAATTGGGATAAAACACTCTTTCATAAGATGTATAATAACTCACTGTTCATAGATGATTTTTAAAATAATTAGCAATTTTCTAGGTGTTAACTTTTTGTTTTGACTCACGCGGTATATTCACATAATTATACGGACATACGTGGAATCATTATCCTCTGATACTTTGAAGTTGATTTGCTTACCGATAACGAAACACAGAAGAAAGACTCCCATGTTAGCGATCCCTACGATGACACGTAGGCTAGCGAACCACCAGTAGCTGGGTGCAAACGCAACACCTATACCGGCTGCTATCTGAAGGGCGAGCGCTATAAAGAGCGTTTTACGGCGACCAAAGCTGCCAAATAAAAAAATAATATCATGAAATTAAATCGTGTCTTAAACATAGAAAGTGGTATAGGGCTTACAAAATGTAATAGATTATGCAAATAGTAGATATGGCCAAGGACGGGTTATAGTTTCACAGTTTGTACTTTTGTCTGGGTTTCCTTTAAATGATATTAGTTGTCAAACAAATGTGATGATTACCTTGTCAATTAATATAATCATTTTTTTTTTAAATTATGAAACAATATGTCTTTTAAGTATATTTTGTTATCTGTATTATTTCTGCATGTGAAATGTGAAATCAATAAACTCAAACTCAAACTCAATAGTTGTACAAATACGGTGCAAAGTTAAATAAAATAGGATACCTAAAAAGTAATATTTTAGAAATAAATGAGAAAAAGATAAGGGTTGTTTCAAACAAAAAAGAATGTTATGACGTGGAGCATATTAACGACCGAGAACGGTAGTCTAAAGTGATTATTAGTACACAGTAAAAACGCTGTTTAAAAAAGTGATGTTCACTTACAGTTGTACACTATCTTAAACAACAGTTGAACAAATTGTAAACAATGTTGCTCGAAACGAAAGTAATTTTGTTAAACATTCGTTGTTTAAAATTTAATGACTGCTATATTTACTATACGAGAGCTTTTAGACAGTGTTGTTTACATATGACGTCATGTGTCTCGTGCCAGTAAAGTGCGCGCTGGCTAAAAGCTTTATTTCACATTGTTATGTTTAGAAACAGGTTCCTTGAAACTAACATGCAATTGAAATTAACATGCCACTTAGAAATGCAGTGCTGCTGTTCAGGCACAGCTCATTGTTATTCATATTAGATGCATACACACAATGCAAGTATATGCAAGGGTCTTCTGTTGACTACACAGATTGATACATATGTAAAAGCACATGGACATTGAGTCTGGATTAAACTACCAAAGCAACCACACGTGTTTCTGCAGGCTCCATATTGTTTGTCTCTATACTTACATTTATTTAGCTTAATAGTTTTTACTTTCCAACCCACAACACAACACACATCATGGCCGACCAAGCTACCGACGCGCTTCTAAGTGACTGGGGATTCAATGTCTTAATTGAAATCACTTTTCTATTAACCAATTTGAAGTTTTTAACTTATAGCGTAAGTTCACAGTTACAATTTTCAGTATCGTACGCAAATGTCAGAATAAAGGTAGACTTAAAATCGTCGCGTCATGCAGTGCGGCACTGATCGCGCACTCGTTTATAACGTGTGCTAAATTCCTTGCCATATAGATTGCATGTATCCCTATATATGCAGTTTATACGTGCGTGCATGCGCGCTCATGCAAAATGGGCACTGTTTTGGCGCTAATTCATGAATTGCAGAATTACCCTACCATATTGTAGTCTTGTAGTCTTCATATACCTATATAGAGACCCAGAAGTAGTGGTGCACTTATTCAGAGTATCAAACCCAAATTATACCCCATTATACAACCCAGTTGGTGTAAACAACCCCCACTGAACAACAGCTCCTTTTTAAACAACTTTCTTTAAACAACCCAGTTGGTGTAAACAACCCCCACTGAACAACAGCTCCTTTTTAAACAACTTTCTTTAAACAACCCAGTTGGTGTAAACAATCCCCACTGAACAACAGCTCCTTTTTAAACAACTTTCTTTATACAACCCAGTTGGTGTAAACAACCCCCACTGAACAACAGCTCCTTTTTAAACAACTTTCTTTAAACAACCCAGTTGGTGTAAACAATCCCCACTGAACAACAGCTCCTTTTTAAACAACTTTCTTTAAACAACCCAGTTGGTGTAAACAATCCCCACTGAACAACAGCTCCTTTTTAAACAACCGTCTTTAAACAACACCAGTTGTTTAAATTGTGATTTTAAACAAGTTGTTCAAAATGTTGATCAACTAAGTGTTTAAACTTTAAACAACTCGAGTTGCTTAACATTTTAAACAACTCTTAGATCAGGTCACCCGTTAATCAAGAGTTGTTTAAACTTTTAAACAACTTGTTCACAAAAATTTTAACTGTGTACAAAGTAATGAATGCTGATCAAAGGGAACCGGGCGTGACAGCAGTATTGTATCCAACTAACTGACACTTTTTTGGGCCCATCAAGACAAAACAATTCTATCAAAAACCTATCATGGGCAATGGATATCCAATTTTCATCTAAACAACAATTAATAAGGACATTTTTATATCCAAGCTTATACCCAATATTTCTTAATAGCATGCGATGTATAATAACAAATTAAATTTTGTAAGATTCATCAGTAATTCATATTCATTTTTTCTGACTCCCCTTCCCCTCTTCTTTTGTGTCCATTGTTCAGAGAAGCGTGTGCCCATAGCCATACGCCATTCATTGTAAAGAAGGATGTAACTAACCTGTCAGCGAGGGTTCCAAAGAACAGGGACCCTATCAGTACTCCCAAAAAGAATAACGATTGAGCCAAGCTGTCCAAGTTAGCATCATCACATACCAGGTTGAACTAGAGACATGAAATCAGTTAGAGTAAGAAAAAAGATAATAAATAATGAGGTCTTATTTACCCAGGGTAATCATAATTACCCCCAGCATTGCCAGGTACCCGCTTCCACCTGGGTGGAGAGTGACAAATATGGATTAATGTCTATCCGAAAGAGGTCAGTGCCGGGCTAGGATTCGAATCCTAAAAATTCAAGTGAATAAACCATTATTTCGGATGCTAACGGCAATCAATTTTCAATAAGAAGTTCACTTTGACAAATTAAAATCTGTGGACACCTATACAGCTAATTCGAAACGAAGTGAACTTGGACCGATTTTGAAACATCTTGAACATGTAGTCCTTGAGTTGTCCTTCCGTATTATTATAGCCACCTCTCCGTTTGCATCAATGCCAGTGCTATCCTAGAAGTTTATCAATAAATAGGGATACGGAATTTTGTTCTTCCTTGCCCTATGGTTTTCACCTATATCGAGACTATGAAACATTCTTTGACTTGTGCAGTAATCGTGTTATACTCTAGACGGCCAGAAAACCGTATATAAATCATTGGCACTTACAATAATGAACAGTTGAGTCAGGAAATATTGAAGCCTAACGAATAGACATTCTGTTGTACAAAACCTTACAACAATTATAATTTCGTTTACTCAAGGAAGCCTCATCAGCACCAATGCTGTTCTTCCTGAAGGCCTGCAATTATTTTTACCGCAACATTTGCAGATACCTATTTACACATAAGTGGAGAGAGGCAAAAATGTCTTGCCAAAGGATGTCGATCACTGCCAGGCTTTGGATTCGAACCTTAACCCTTGCATTCAGATTGAACTACATTTGGCATTAACACAATAAATACTGTTAAAGATTTTGCCAATAATGTTTTATAACATCTCTATCTCTTATATGTTTTGTATTGTATGTCCTGCTTTGGCAGTTATGAGCCATGACCTGGACTACTCTTTTTATATGTCTGTGACTGTGCAATTCTTTTATTTTTATTCTATGTTCCTCTATTGAAGATTGACAATAAAGGGATACACATTCAAAACAATTTACTGTACCACAACACCTTCACTGCTTGTAGGTGTTAGATAAAGGGTATATACTACTTCCCAAAGATCAACCTAAGGAAATTTCAATGAAATATACGAGCATGACAATGACATCATACGTCATCAGAATATAATTTCTACGTGGCTTTCAAGGATATTGAATAAAGCAGCTCGTAAATATTATCTGCGCATGGACAGATATATTAACTTGTTCCCAAATTGTAAAACCCATCGAGACGAATACTGGTATCGTGCTCATGAAAGTTATGTAATCAGTATTCATTTATGCAGCGACAATAAATTTATCTGATACACAGGTGGAAGTATTCTTCTCAAGAGGCACAGAAAATGTATTTATAAAGCACTTCCATTACTTCGGCAGTGATTATTCTAAATGCACAAATGGGACGTATCCATCGTGTAAAGGATCTGTGGATATTTTAGGGTCATGCCTTTCGAAGCTATTAGGGACTTTTAGATTTGCACGACGAGAACGTGGACTGCTATGTGTGACATCCTTTTAAGGCAATGTGACGTCCTTTTAAGGCACTGCCGGGCACTGCCAGTGCCTTAAAAGGATGTCACACGTGGCAGTCCACGTTCTCGTCGTGCAAATCTAAAAGTCCCCATTTACGAACTGGCTTATTGCCTTTGAGTTGATTTTTTTTCTCGAAAATAGTTGCGATTGTGTAACAACATTTGTATATATACCTCTTGTATAAGTGATGATTTATACTGACTTCTATCATAGACCCATCCGTCGTTGCATTTAATGGTTGTGGTATCATTGTAGTTGACAGGATCGAGACCCGGATGGAAGAAGAGCTCATCGACTAAGGAATACTTGTAACACTGTGACTCATCTTCAGTCGCGTTGATGGGTGAACTAGCGTTTCTCTTCGCTTCAGTGCACTGTGCTTCATTGTAATCCCATTTAGAACAATCTTCTTCGCTCCATGCTGCCACCTATCATCCAATAAAAACAGAAATATCAAGAAAATATGTCAATTAAAAACAAAATGCTTAAAGGTAAAGACCAGTTTTGGAAATGTCCCCTTTCAAAAGATGAAATAGAAGCTCTTGTTACCAATCATGTGAAAGAATATGTTTTGACGATTACGTGATGATACAAATTTTGCCGGGAAACAGCCTATTAGTACTAATATATATATTTGGTAAATTAATATATCTATCCGGACTGGATAGATATAGGGTAGTCCCATATACATCTTTCTGTACATGCGTACAGTGCTTGTAACTCTACCAAGACTGGGCTAAATTTCTTATCCTTTTGATGATTCCAGAACCTTGCAGTAAACACCAATACATTATGCTAGATGATCAACCTTTCTGATCGATTCCATAACATTTCTTTCACAATACAATCGCATGACCAGAACTGGTCTATACCTTTAATGCCTAACATGATTTCCCAAACGTGCATGTATACATAAAGTTCAACGGTACAATTTGATATATTTGGTTGAAGGCGGGGAGGTAAGTATGTACATCAAGATGACAAGGACATCAGGATAAGAAGGAATAAACAAAGTTTTCTCTCAAGCATGGATTCTATGCATATTCTCCCACGAGAAAATTATGCAGTTTCTTTTTACTGTCACTAAAATATCAATATCAAAATAGTGAGGTGATAAGAAGACGAGGTATTTTGACATCAGTACGTCAAGAAATCGAAATGACAGTCGTCAGGTACACTGAATAAAAATATTATGACAACGGATCTAATGAGTTGATAGGTCCAATACAAGAAGATAAGAAGATTCGTCATCTTATCTCAATATACACGCCCGGTATACACGGTGTAACACGAGACGATTAAATATAAACTCCAGTTCCAATCAAAAAATTAATTCTCACAGAATCCAACGAAACTTACACTGAATGTTCAAGATTACAAATAAATGACATGTGCCAAACAATTTTGAAAGAAAATGTATACTGGCTAAGTAAAGAGCATCGAAAGACAAGGAAATCAAGGTAGTACTAGCACCGACACCATGTGTGTTGTCCCATATATAGCTTTCTGTGTACAGTGCTTGTTACTTTACCAAGACTCGGTCAAATTTATTATGATTTTGATGACTCCAGAACCTTGCAGTGCACACCAATACTTACATGCTACATGATCAACTGTTTCTGATCCTTTCCACACCTTTTCTTTCACAATGCAATCGCATTACCAGTACTAAAGTTTATCTTTAAGAGCGTTGAATATGAACATTTTGTCACGAAAAAGGATTGCTGGAATTTCGACAAGCAACGCATATAAACGTTTGTTAAAATCAATCCATAATAATAAAAGTCGCTCATAATTATATTCGAGTAATTCTGCCGAGAGGATTTTTAGAGGATTTTCTAGCAAGTTAAAGAGAAAGGCCTATTTTATTATTTTAATTTGTCGACAACAATTCGGAATTTGAAGACATATACCCATGTATCTTAGTTTCCTTATCTCATACTCCTAGAACGGTGACATAATGATTTTCTGAAGAGCAATTTTCGTCTTCCACTAAGGGATTAGTAATTTGTTTTCTACTTAAAGTGAACTTGAATCTCTTCTCCATGTCATATCAATATGCAATTTAGTCTATACTGGTTGATTAAAATGGGATCGTTATAGGATGACAAATATGTCAACTGATTGGAATATAGATGAAGGTCCTTTATTTATATATACTGTTATAGAGGATGAATGAGGGTAGAATAATAACTGTTTTTCGAGACCTTTCATTTCTTTATTGACATAACAGCAATAAAGCTCAAGTATCTTTCAGTCTGGCGCCATAAAGCTTATGGAATATGACGAAACTCAAGATTGATCTGAAAACTGTCCTCTTCAAAATTCGAAAATAGGTTTCCTATTATTTTGACAAGATTGAACTTGTAATAAATTTCAAATGTAAGAGATTTGTTTATTCTTCATATTTGAACAGAGTAAAGTTGTATGCTAGCATGTTTTAAGATTATCTTTTAGTCCAATCAAGATCTTATGTCCCAACAGGAAGGATGTAAAATTGTATTTAACGATGAGAAACCTTTCCCCCCGTATATTATAAAAATGTCTGTTGTCGCCCTAGATCTGCGCTTATCAAAAGAGCAGAGCAAACATGAGCGATATGCCATTTTTTGCAATGTCAGCAAGTTTTAAGCATAAATATGTCTTTATGTTCATTTAGTACATCGGCTCGAATGACTTCATTCGCCTCTATAGATCGCTTGGAGCACGTCACACCGCGACCGAAATGGCGTTTCGTGCAAGTGCAAGGGGTATTAAACCCGAGTCACACCGTCAAACCGACTCCACCATGATTCTAAACCAGGCGCGGATCCAGGGGGGGGCGAGCGGGCCTTAGCCCCCCCCCCCCGCAAAAAAAAAAAAAGTAGAGAAAAGGAAAAGAAGGGAAAGGGAAAGAGGAGAGAAAGGGGAAAAAGAGGAAGAAGAAAAGAAGAGAGGGAAGAAGGAGATCTGAGGGGGGGGGGGGGGCAAAAGGACCAACCTTCCCCCTCCAATCAAAAAATAAAAGAGAAGGAAGGAAAGGGAAAGAAAAAAGTAAAATAGGAGATAAAGGGAAGGAAAAAAGAGGAAGAAGTAAAGAAAAGAAGGGGAATATCAGTTGCAATTTTCCCGCCAACAAGTTGTGGATCGAGGGGAGGCAAAAGGCCCTTGCCTCCCCCCCCCCCGTCCCCGCTAAACAAAGAGAGAAGGAAGGAACAAAAAAGAGGAAGAAGAAAAGAAGGGGAAATCAGTCAACAATGTGTGGAGCGGAGTGGGGGCCAAAATGACCTTCCCCCCCCCCCCCCAGCAAACCTAAAAGAGAGAGAAGGAAGGGAAGGGAAAGGGAAAGAGGAGAGAAAGGGAAAGAACAAACAGAGAATGAAGAAAGGTAAGGGTTATCAGTTGTAATTTTCTCGTCAACAAGGTGTAAATGGGGGGGGGGGGGGCACTGACGTACTGATAGGGGAGGGGGGGGCTTTGGGGAAATCAAATTCAAACGTGTTTTTTTCTAATTCCATAACGATGGTTTACAAATAATGCTGAAATGACATAATTTTCACCAATTTTTCCTCACTTTTAAGTAAATTGTACTTTTTTATGCGTTTGTTGGAAAATGACAAATTCCTAAATTTATAGCCAGGCAAGAAAATGCTTCTTGAGATGCCTACATGTCAGGGCCCGCGGAACGGCGGGGATCGCGATCCTCGAGCCCTCCCCCCCCCCCACTTTTTTTGAAAAAGTATATTAAAGAGAAATAGAAAGAAAGAGAGCAAGAAAGAAAAAATAGTTAAATGCCAGTGTCACATTATAATGAGGTATCAAAATATGCTCATCTGACCATGATTAAATTAAATGCCTAAAACCACGAGGGCTCTGCCCCCTGGGTTCCACCTAGGGCCCTAAGGTGGGCCCTTAGATGCTCATCTGACAGTAATTAAACGCCTAAAACCCCTGAGGGGGCTCTGCCCCCTGACCCCAACCAAGAGCCCTAACGGGCGGGCCTCTTGATACTCATCTGACCGTAATTGAGTGCCTAAAACCCTTGAGATTCCGGGGGCTCCGCCCCCTGAACCCCACGCCAATTAGTGACCTGCCAGTGTCACAATTAGGTATCAAAACAATGCTCATCTGACCTTAATAAAATTCCTAAAACCCCTGAACTTCCGGGGCTCTGCTCCCTGGACCCGCCTAGGGCCCAAAGGCGGACCGTAAATTATTGCCTTAAACCCCTGAGTTCCGGGGGCAGACAAGGTATCAACATAATCTTACCGCAGGCGTGTAGCCAGGGGGAGGGGGGGGGGGCGGTGGGGTGGTCCCCCCCAAAAACGCCGGCCAAAAAAGAGAGGAGTGAAAAGGAAAAGGACGTAGGAAGAAAAGGGAGTAGACAAAGAACATTTTTGAAATTCAGACAAAGATTAAGAGTCGAGAACGGTACGAATCGTCTGCTTTCTCTAATGATTTAATGAAACGTAAAAGCTTCCGCGCTTTGCGCGGGAGGGGGGGAACTAAATTTAGACGAAGATTAAGAGTCGATAACGACACAACGAATCGTCTTCATTCTCTTAATGAAACGTAAAAGCTTCCGCGCTTCGCGCGGGAGGTGAGAAAACATAATTCAGACGAGGATTATATTTGGGAACGGTACAACGAATCGTCTTCTTTCTCTAATAATTTATTGAAATGTCAAAGCTTCCGCGCTTCCCGGAGGAGGGAGGGGGAAACTCGCTCCTCCCTGCACCCACCCCCCCCCCCCAATTACGTCACTGCTGGTCACCATAACGTACCAATATTTGGCTCGCATGATTTCAAATTTGGGCCCCCCCCCTAAGAAATCCTGGATCCGCGCCTGTTCTAAACCCACCGATTTCAGGCCATTCGGGGGGTAATGTAATTTTTAGTTCAGTCTGGTGTTGGTCTGGTGTCGGTCTGGTTGGTGTAGACTTTTTAGTCCCTACAATGATGTTGCTGTACTGAGCGATGCCGATCTTGCGCCCATTTCATCGACATTGACGTCCATGCGTATCTCCCCGATTTTACAATCTTCACATTTTATAACTACAGTATTAGTATCAAAATGCCTGTTTAGCAATGGTTATGTTAAGGTTTCTTTTTCGGGGCAGGAGAAGGGGGAGGGGGGGGGGGGGGTCTTGCCCGAAAGGGTTGTGGCTCGAGGGGACCTGTCTGGGTATGGTTTAGTCCCACTAGAAGTTGTTCATAGTTATACCGAAGAGAAAGAGAAAGAGGGAGGGGAACATTAATGACATAATTTTTATTCAACGAGCAAACATGACATCTGAAATTGAGTTCATCCGTAAGTCACCTCTCCTTGAATTACGAGTGCATTGTATATAATGATCAACTCAAAGTCCAGCATTGCATTATTATTGAGAACAATCATGATCAAGATCGTATACTAATTATCATTGTGTTTACTCTGCTACTCCAAATA